ACAAGCTAAAGAGTACGGCAACCCTGATTTCCTGCATCCACATCGCGAGCCACAACCATTTTTGCAGTTGCAGAATATTGTGTTCAGCAAATTTTCTGGAGCTGGAGGTAGAATAGTAGTAGTAGGTGCCAGGAGTCCATTACGCATTATCCAACCCCAATCATGCCCTAACCAAGCCTGAACTGGGTAGTAAACACGATTGAAATGTTGGTAAGCTGCTGCACTTGTTGGTGGAAGATTTGATAATTGCACATATTTATTCTGTTTGGTTGATTTGATGAATAGTGTATAACGAAGATGATCGATGCTGTTCTCAGATTTTAGAGCATTATAGATTGCTAATAAAGTTCGCACTCCATTCTCAAATAACCTATGAACCGGACAGTTTTCGTCTTATTATTTTTCAATATTTATTCTTATTATATTCAATATGACCTTTTATGAAAAAATGTAAATTATTTATAATTATATATTTTTCAATAATTAACGGACTTTATACGGCGCCGGCGTGTTTTTAACCGAGACTACAGGTTGAACTTGAATGATACCGTACATAATGAAAGACTGCACGCTCACCATCCTCTATCACAAAAGCGGTTTGAGGTACAAAAAATTTTTTGAAACAAAAATTGTAGAGAATTTTATCATCTACAATATTTATAATAAATACAAATAGCGTAAATGTGACAGGGAACGAGATATTTGCAAAAAATCGATTTTTGACCAGTTATCTACAAGTCGCGCACACGCTGTCATATGTAGGTTTTGAGACATGTTTTAGGATGTTAAAATAAAGGTTTATACAAGTTTACAGCCGGTTATCTCGAATTCCGAGGTGAAACCCCTAAGATGACTGGACTAACATCCACAATTATTTAACAAATAAAATAAATATTTGTAACGAAAGGAGCTTTATTAAATTATATTAAATTATAAAATGTTTACATAATTGCCCATTCGCAGCCAAACAATACCCCAAATGATTATGAAATTCACGCCTTAAAATACAAAACTGTTAAGGGGAGAATTTTTAGCATTCCACAGAGGTGTCGTTTTCAGTCCATCTAAATTTCTATATTTAATATGCCCATAAACGGTTTTTGAGTGTGCTTCACAGGAATAAGTTTTCGGCGAAAGATCCTGTGGGCTTTTCCTCCTGTACTCCTGTATCCTCAATAAACGGGAGTCAATGTTTTTCTTTTCTTCAACATGAAGAATATTCAAGGCGTTGTTATTTTCTTCCTGTTCAATTATTTTTGTCTTCACATTTCCATGTGCTTAATACCTTAGTGCTTTTAGTTTCAAACCTCCGGTTAATTCTTTAAACTATTGACTTATTCGGTATAGGCTGTCCGGAGACTGAGCTGCGAACATATCTAACACAGCGGGAAGAACATTTCCAGCAAAATATCGTTTAACCATCGTATCTTTTTCAGAAGTTGTCAAATTCATAATTATTTTATACAAAATTACTCTGCTTGGTACCTTCAAATTTTTGTAAACAAAATGACATCGAATTTGACAATGACACAATCACATTTTTTGCTGGTATTTTAATTTTAGCTTTCTCTGGACCCTATTATAAATTTTACTAATTTGAAGGTAAGACTTTTGCAAATAAATTTTAAATGACTATTCCAATTGAAACCAAATTCTACATAAAAGTACAACTTTAACGCCTCTTTATAAAGTCTAATATAAGTTTTCCATGAAATCATCTGGGGAGATAATATTTGACTTTTTCAAAATTAGCATGGGACTTTTTATGTCCCGCGTTCCGTTGCACCACACGGTATCGTTTAAATTCGTAAAAAATGTATGCCTTTCGTATAAAGAAATACCGTATGATCGAAAAAAAAAACGGCGTCCAGTTGGCTTGGAAATGAACATCAATGATATTCTCCATATAATTTTACATATAAAATGACAGCCACCTTTATTTCATACCTATCGCTGACGCCGTTTTTTTTCGATCATACGGTACTTTTCTTGATATCTCGAAGATTACAGTTGGGGGTACCTAAACTGTAATTTACCCTGTATATAGCTTGATATTTAATTAAAATAGCTATTGTGTGTTAAACCAAATTCATATTCGTCACAAAAAGTTATATAGGGTGAGATAAAATTAATATTGAACATTGGTGAGCAAGTTACTTGTTCGTTTTAAATGGAACACCCAGTATATTACTCTCGAGATTCAATGAAGAATTCATAAATCTACAACCATTAAGGTTGATTCTGTCATTAGGCTATACCGGGTAAATTTCAAGTTAGGTAGCTTTTATTGAAATTTAATTATTGTTCTTAATTTTTAGAAAATAAGCCAAAAACGTTACATTTTAGTCATATGCTTCTCTAGTGAAACTGGCCTTTATTTTTCTCCTAGAATCTAAAAATAATTTCATATATATATGGTGTTCCATTACAAAAAACACAACTTTGATGTGCAACCTTTCTGGGGACAACCTGTAAAACTATATACACTCAGATGCAAAAAAAATGCAACGGAGATATTTTTGGTCAAATTTAAAGTGTTATATTTTTGTTATTCTTAGTCCTATTTTTATGATTTTTTTTAGCAAACTGTATATAATTATGTCAACTTTAATTCGTAAACTAAGTTTTTTTATAAACTTTAGTATTTGGCATATTACACAGGGTTAATCGAGGGGTTGTTTTTTACCCTAACTTTAAAACACCCTGTGCAATAATTTCGTGTGTAAATTTTCCTAAAATATAATTTTACGGTCAGAACCATGTCTCCTGAGCATTTTATTTTTTGGATCATGTTAATACATGCCTTGGTTAATTTTTAAGAGCGAAATGAACTTGCCACCAAGAATTTGCAATTTTTTCAATGATTATTTTTTTTTGAAGTAAATTTTCAATAGGACAAGGCCGCTTTGGTGATTATTGTGAACTATATACTACTATGAACTGACCATCATGTTCGACGTTTGGGAAATACTTGGCAGGAGAATGACGTCGCGAAGCGGTACCGGCTTCATTAAATAAACTTCGCTAGGTTCTTAAAGAAGAATGAGAAAGCATAACGCAATATGGTATATGCAGCCCCAATGACAGTATGATCGGACGTGTACAGGCAATTATATCAGCCAAGGGATGCAATACAAAGTATTAGAGTATTTTTTACAATTTTTTTTTCTGTTTGTATCTGTCTTGAGTATTACAGATGTTTTCTTTAATATCGTTAGTTCTGTTATTGTTATTAATGTTTATTAAAACCAGGACAGTATCGTTAGTCTTATTTTTTTTTTAAATTTAGTATAGAGTATCCAATGCAGCGTAATACGACGTTACGACAATAGTGACCAAAACCATCTCGTCATATTAAAAAAATACATCAAAAAGTAATGATAAATGAAAAAATTGCAAATTAATCGTGATCAGTTCATTTCGCTCTTAAAAATTAACCAAATCATGTATTGACATGAATCAAAAAACAAAATGCTCAGGAGTCATGGTTCTGGCCGTAAAATTATATTTTAGAAAAATGTACACACGAAATTATTGCACAGGGTGTTTTAAAGTTAAGGTAAAAAAACAATCCCCCGATTAACCCTGTATAATATGCCAAATACTAAAATTTATAAAAAAACTTAGTTTACGAGATAAAGTTGATATAATAATATACAGTTTGCTAAAAAATTCATGAAAATATGGCTAAAAATAACAAAAATATCACACTAAATATATCAGAAGATTCCTATCCTTCAATAAGAAGAAGAGAGACAGCCGTTCCCACCAAGACAATTAAGCTGACATATACTTTTTACTTTTTATTCTAATTCATTTTAATTAAGCAGTTGATTGTCAACCATCATAGCATACACATGTACTAAAACCAATTTTTTTGTAATAAATAAATTTTTGCCACCCTGTATACCGGGTGTTTATCAAAAGTAAAAAGTGATTTCTCAAAACCAAACCCCTATAACTTTTTTACTTTTTCAGATAAAAAAAAACGAGAAATATGTGAGTATATAACATAAATTAGGATTGATTGACGTATTCAATTGTTTTTGGTCACTTCCTGTTTTACTAACAAATTACTACAACTTTCGATTTTTAAATGGTACCGTAGGTTTTTTTTACTTTATTCGATAGAAAGTGATACTTTGAATAGAATGACATATCGCATGTCAACTTTTGACATTTTCGCTTAAAAAATCGTATTTTAAATAATCTAGAGTGCCATAACTGATTTAAAAATATTTATTTTTAATCAAGGAGCCTTGGAAATATAGATCTGATCGTATGATGTTTTTCGTGTCTTGTTGAGACTTTTGAGATACACCCGGTATATGCCTTGAAAAAACCGTCTTTCACAAAAAAAGCGTCTTTCACCATTAGAAATTAGAAGAAAAATCTAAAAAAAAATAATTGGTAAACACTACAGCGAAACCACAAGGAAACTAGCTGCTCAGTAGCTTTTACTAGTAAAGAAATTTTCCTAACCAACAAAAATACTTAACGTCGCCAGAAGCAAAATAAAATAAATAAAAAAGTATCTAAAATGTCTAAATTTACAACCATACTACTAGTTTTTATTCGATATGTCTATTATACCGTTGAAGTTCTGACAGTTAAAAAACAAATTAAATCTCTCTACCTAAAAATAACTTATATGTCATCGTCCAAAGCTTAATTAATCATTTTATTTTAAAACTGTAGAAGCCCTACACTGTTAATTGAAACTTATTGAATTAGGCTTTGACATTTGTGAAATAAAAAATAATAATAGTGTGATAATACTACATATTATCATATTAATATTTGTAATATAACAACGAAAACTAAAAATTAATATTTTTATTTTGGCCATTTACAAGAAACTAATACAGAATCTCTTCATTACAGTTCTAGCTGTGCGTTCCGTCCGTGCCCGTGTTGATAACGCTCCAAATGTCCAGCTGCAGCGGGATTTCACATCGCTAACACTAGATTTAGTATAAATTGAAGAAATTTGCACATGCAGAATCATTCAGTCTTTTGATTTCGACTTTACAACATTGCATCTATAAGATAATTTAAACTATAAACAATAAAATGAAGTCTTTAATCTTATTAGCAGTAACTTTAGCTGTTGCCAGTGCTGTTCCATTGTTGGTGACAGATGAGGAAGGCCAATTGTACTATTTGACTCCAGTTGTCAGCCGTCAAAGAAGGTAAATTTTTTTGATTTTTATTTTTGATTAAACAATTTGATTTAATTTTTCGTTTTCGCATTGCATGCGCAAACTGTTTTTTTTTTGAGTTTTATGACAGGAGAAATTTTATTTTGATGTCAATACGATTCCTATTTGTAGTGGGCGCCACCTACATGTGGTTTAACTGTTTTGAAGAGTATTAACTTTTCGTCCCTACTTGTATAAAACTAATAATAATAATAATAGCTCCCGTATATAGTGTTTAACGCCTTGGGAGTAGCAAGGTACAGCTTGTTATACTAGAGCCGTTTGGTATACAAGAAAGGTAATGTGGCTAGCACGAGGCTAGCATTACGCTTCAACCGCCTATTATTACCTCAGGATTGTGAATCCCAAGTACTCATTTAAGGCTGAGTCGATCTAGGTACCCAAACTATTTTTATTTTAATAAATATAGTCGGCTGATGAAATGCCGGCTGTGGGAATCGAACCCACACCTTGAGATTGGTAGACGAGAGCCTGTACCTCTACGCCATCGCCACCGGGCACTTGTATAAAACTACCGAGTGAAAAAATATACATTTCCGTGATTTTTTACGTAAATTTCAAGATATTTAGAATGGAAGTAGTCAGTACATGTCATTATTTACAAAAAATAAAAATGTTGAGTAGATAGTTATTTGACTGATATGATAAATTTGAGAACTGTTTATTTTTTTAAATTAATCATAAATTTTTCTTCGAAAAAATGATGATAAAACAGTTTCTATTGAATTTTGGCCACAAAACATTTCAAATTTATGATTTCAGTCAGTAATAATTATTTAGTCAATACGTTTAATTTACGTCAGTGATGACAGGTATTGATAATTTCGATTCCAAATATCTCAAGAACCATTTCTTGTAGCGATTTTACCAAGAGACATTTTTTACGTAAAAAACGTCGTAAATGTACATATTATTATGTTTTTACTCATTAGCTTTATACAGGTGCGGGCGAAAGTTATTACTTTTCAAATCAGTTAAAAATATGTAGGTGGGCGCCCTCTACAAGTAGGAGTCATATTGACATCAAAATCAAATCTCTCATGTCAAAAAACTCCCAGTCGCCAATTTTCATCCAAATATTGACGTTACTTCATAAATTATTTGGAAAAAATCGAAATAAAAATGAAACTTCTACACCCTATATCTCCGAAACTAAGCATTTTAGGACATACATTTATACGAACTTTTTTACTTACTTTCCTCTGCAAAATATGCTGCCGAAGTTTCCGGAATACAGTTCGAACCACCCTGTGTAGTATTAAACTCAAATTATTAATCTCAAAATCTCAACAAACACATTTAAATCCACATACTATAAACAAACTCTGACGTTAAATACTAATGAACAAATTATCACAGCTATCTTAAAATCAGCTTGTCCAAAACTGGCATGATGTGTTTTCATCCATAAGCAGACCTTTAAAAAACTATTTACAACATAGCTCTAAAATTAATAGGGGAGCCAATATTTGGACAGTTTAAAATGTGCATGGAATTTCCTATGTTTCCAACGACGCGACGATGTACCACCTGGTATATAATACAGTGTAATTAAAAAGTTTTGTGATTAAGCGTGCTTTGTACGATGGCAAATAAACATATTTTTAAGGAAAATTACACATTACAGTTTCTTACTTAACTGTCAAAACTCACTTAATAATAAGCCATTTTACTCCAAGAGGTTCTTACTTAAGATATTTTGTAGAGGAGCGGCTGATTGGTCAGCTCAAGGCCAAGGAGGAGCCAACAGCCATAGTGGAGGTGGAGGAGTTAGTATTCAGAATCCAAATGGTACGTTATATTTTTTACTATTTAATTTTTTTTACTTATATCCTTTGGTTGTATTAAAATTGTAAATTTATTTGTCGTAACACCACAGATTAGGTATCCTCTAAGTATACAGATAAAAATCTTGTCCCTAATTCGTGGTACGAAAATTGTTTTTTATGACGATGTGCAAACGAGTCAAATTTCCTGTGCGCAAAAATAAACTCGCGTAAAATAACAAGCGTAATAGAGAAATATCGCTAAACCGAATAGCGTGCATGGACGTTAATAAGGCCAGGTGTTATTTCCTTTATGTGAGGTGGTATTAACTCTCTTCATTTATAGTTATCGGATCGGAAAGAATTCTGATAGCGTCGCGTCCGCTATTTAAACTTAACCTAACTTTGAATTTAAAACTTTGAAATTGTTTTGTTTACTAGGTGTTTTAAAACTAAAGTGCTAAAGTGCTTATTTCCAGTGCTTTATTGTTCAACGTCTGTCAGTGGGTTTAGGGCAACAAGCAACAAATTCTCTTAGAAGGGCTGAGTCGTCATCTGCTGTAAACCTAAGACTCTTTATAGGTGCTTTAGTATTGGAAGAAGTGGAATCCATATTTTAAGCCATATTTATTTAATTAAAACTAATCCCAGCTACTTAAATATAATAATAATAATAGCTCCCTTATATAGCGTTTAACGCCTTGGGAGTAGCAAGGTACAGCTTGCCATACTAGAGCCATACAAGGAAGATAATGTGGCTAGCACTACGCTTCAACCGCCTATTATTACCTCAGGATTGTGAATCCCAAGTACTCATTTCAGGCTGAGTCAACCTAGGTACCCAAACTATTTTTATTTTAATAAAAATAGTCGGCTGATCAAATGCCGGGTGTGGGAATTGAACCCACTACCTTCAGATTGGTAGACGAGAGCCTGTACCTCTATGCCACCGAGCACCTTTATTGATTGACTTGCGCATATCGTAACCATGATAAGATACGCGTAAATACTGGATGACGCTATTCGGTTTTCCGATATCTCTCTAATAACTGTGCCGGTCAGGCGCTGTGCACAATTTTAGAGGCCATAAGTGGGCGTGCTATGTGCGCAAACTAGTCTAGACCTAACTAGTGCCTGATTCCGAAAATTGGAACCACGAAAAACAATAAAGAAAAAACAAAGATTATAATCTGTATAATCTGTGGTAACACCAAAGGTTTCAGCCCTTAGACAGATATAAATGAAAAAAATGCTAGATTATCTCTTATTAACGAAAATGGTAGATATATGATTATAATACAGAGTGAGTCTTAAATTAGTGCAGATATTTTTAGGTGTTGTATATTTCGAGCAGAAAAAGGATATTAAAAATCGTGCATTTAAATATTCCTGTATATTTTAGAAAACTTTTTAGAACTCTCTGTTCATCGCAATTCTCGGATGGTATAATTTCTGAATATTATGTTTTTTTCTGTATATTATGTAATTTCTGTATATCTCTCTAATATTACCATGATTACGACACTAAAAGGGATACAAATACAAAAAACAATCCGGAGGATCTTAATTTTTTTTTTAAATAAATCATTTTTTTTACTATTCAAGCTTTAATAACTCGTTTATTTTGGACTTATTTGAAAAACGATAAAGAGAGAATATGTTTCTTATGTCGAAATCTAACCAGCCCTGAAAATATTTGCACTTATTTAGGACTCAACTGTTATTTCAAATGCAACACTATGTATTTTTTTAAATAAATCGAAGCAGATTTAAATGCTCTTTCAAACTATATTAGGGTTTCCTATATCTATCTGGCGATTTTTCAATAAAATTGTAATCTAGATGGCTGGTGTTGCCATGGCAATTTTTTGGTGACACTTGGTAGCTATTTTCATAATCAGTATTAGGTTATGGACTTTATTTAAATTGATAACAGGTTATTTTTATTTAATTTACCTACATACGGGTAATAAGTAAGTATAATAAAAATAAAGCAGTATCTGCTAGCAGAAGGAATGTATCTGTTACTAGCGATTTTATTCTGTGAGGACAATTGCTTGTTGCTTAAAGCTCAAAGATATCCAAATAGGAATTTTCTTGACAAGCGTTCCTTTGAAAAACTACTTTTTCTATTTCCTAGAGCTGATAGTGAGGTATATGAAAAACCTATTAGGTAGAAACCTGTTGTTGGAAGTGAAGAAAATGTATTTGCCTTAATTGGTTCTTTTATAGAAAATCCAATATATCTACAAGTCATCGTAATACAAATCAAAGAACTACTTTTTAATTTTTATTAAACTGTTATAGGTAAATTAAATAAAAGTAAACTGTTATAAATTTAAATAAAGTTCACAAATTATTGTCGATTTTGAAAATAGCACTAACTGTCACTAGCAAATTGCCATGGCGACACCAGCCGTCTGGATTGCCATTTTATTGAAAAATCGCTTTTTATTCAAAATCTGAGTCAGATTTAGGAAACCCTTATATAGTTTCACAGAGCATTTAAATCTGCTTCGACTTATTTTAAAAAATGCATAGTTTTGTATTTGAAATATTGAAGTTTTTATGTAAAATGAATATTTAAAATAGACCAGCAATTTTTGATACCCCTGTATACATTTAAGGAAGCAATACAATTTTTTAATAAGGTTTATTTCTCTGGCTTCAAAGGCAGCACAAGAATTAACTCTGAAAAGTAATGTACAGGGTGTTGAGAAACTTTTTTTCAAACAAATATCTTTAAATATCTCAAAAACCAAAACATATTAAACCCTTATAATAAATACGTTATTTTATGCCCAAGAATGCAAAAATGAAATAAAATACCGGGTGTTGTATAAGAAAAAATATAACTTTGGTATGGATCTTAGTTCTGACACGCCCTGTACATTTAAAAATAATTTTAAATTATGCACATTGCCTCTCTACATACAGGGTGGCGCACCTCATTCGCCTCGATTGATTATACGAAAACGGAAAAATGTAGAAACGAAATATTTTATGGGTATATGTGGGGAGGTAATGTGGGGCACAATTTAAACTTATTTTGAAATGTACAGGGTGTTTCAGAACTAAGATCCAAACCAAAGTTATATTTTTTCTTATGGAACACCCGATATTTTACTTCATTTTTGGATTCTTGAGTCCAAAAAAAGGTATTTATTATAAGGGTTAAATATGTTTGAAATCTTTGGTTTTTGAGATATTTAAAGATATTTAAATTTGCATGCTACAATAGAATATATTATTAACACCCTGTACATTACTTTTCAGAATTAGTTCTTGTGCTGAGTTTAAAGGTAGAGAAATAAACTTTACAGAAAAATGTTATTCCTTCCTTAAGTGTATACAGGGGTATCAAAAATTGCTGGTCTATTTTAAATATTTATTTTACATAAAAACTTCGTTATTTCAAATGCAACACTATGTATTTTTTTAAATAAGTCGAAGCAGATTTAAATGCTCTTTCAAACTATATTAGGGTTTCCTATACCTATCTGGCTCAGATTTTGAATAAAAAGCTATTTTTCAGTAAAATTGTAATCAAGATGGCTGGTGTTAAACATATTTAATCCTTATAATAAAGGTCTTTTTTTGGGCCCAAGAATCCAAAAATGAAATAAAATACAGGGTGTTCCATAAGAAAAAAATATAACTTTGGTATGGATCTTAGTTCTGAAACACCCTGTATATTTCAAAATAATTTTAAATTGTGCACATTGTCTCCCCATATATACCCATAAAATATTTTGTTTCTACATCTTTCCGTTTTCGTATAATCAACCGAGGCGAATGAGGTGCGCCACCCTGTATACACATAAAAAACTTTGTTTCTGGATCTTTCCGTTTTCGTATAATCAACCGATGCGAATGAGGTGCGCCACCCTGTAGATGATTAGTCGATCTTTTATACATGTGTATAGACAGATTATAATGTTTGATTATTTATTCCAGGATCTGGAGCTAAAGTAGGCTATGGTCATGCCAACGGCTGGGGACATGATCTAAGTGTCGACGGTCGCGTTCCAGTATGGTCCAATAAAAACAAACATGGAGAAACAACGCTCAATGTTGGCGGAGGAATAAGCGGCCATACTGGATATGGAGGAACCCATTCGACAGACAAAAGATTCGGTGCCAGTATTAATCATAGTTTTTAAACTTCGCAAATTTGTAAAATAAGACTGCGACTTTAACATAAAAAAATGTTATGTTTCTGAATATAACAAATATGTACTAAAATATCCATCATAATAAATCCATCATCAATCGTTAATTAACAGTTTTAAATGATGCTTCTGTAGTTTTTGATTTCGCATAATAGTTTTTAATTTTGTGTACGCAGCTGTTATACTTTTAAGATAATAAATTATTGTTTGCTATATTTTTTTGTTTTAATATACTATGTGTGAAAAATGTCTATACTTCTGTGGCGGATTTATCTCTTCAAAAAATCCTATGGGTATTTTGTAACTGTAAGAAAATTTACAAAATAAAATAGTTATTTTTTGTAAACACTGCTGCGTTAATCTAACGGAGACTAATTGTCAGTACTGTGACTAATTTACTAATAAACAAATTTTCCCAATGGACAAAAACATGCTTAAAGTTTCGGGAAGTACCTATACCAGGTGTTGCATCGTCGTAATTATTTTAGAGAATAATTCTATTTAGGTTTATTGAAGAGCACTAAAACCCACATTCAAAAGAATAACTTTAGATATTTTTGATTAGCCCGTTTACGAGTTATCGCCGATTTCTTTTTAAATATTTCTCCTTTCTTATGGCCCAGTATTTACTTATGAGCACCAGTCAAGGTAAAAGATAACTGTCAAATGAAGTTGTCATTTCAGAAATATACCTATTTAGTGGTTTATTATTATTGAAAACTCATTCCTACATCGGAAATCTTAAAGATGTATAATACAAATTAATATAAATTAAAGTAAAATAAAGTAATCAATTACAAGGTTAATTATAGTATTATTACAATATTCAATAACTTATTAATTTAGGTACTATTAAATTGTTAGAACTTTAGGATTTAAGAAGATGTTCAAATATTCCTCCATCGACATACCAGTTGCCAGACAATAACCCAGGCGATCATAAAATTCTCTTCTTACATTGGCTAGTTGGTAAACAGAAATTCTATTGCATTCGGCAGAAATAGCATTTTTTAACTCGTCTAGATTTGGGTATTTTTTATCCTTGTATATCCTGTTTTTTAAATGGCCCCAGAGAAAGAAATCATTTGGCGAAATATCAGGAGACCTTGCTGGCTAATTTAGTATATGATTTAGGCTAATAACGTTTCCGTTAAAACTATTGTCTAAGTATTCCCGAACAGCCAGGGTACTATGTGCCGGGCAGCCATCCATTTGGTACCAAACTTTCTGATTTTCCCTACCTATGTAAAGCAGGTAAAATATGATTTTCGAGTAGTTCCAAATAATATTCTGCATTTAAATTTCGCGTAAGAAATAATGACCCGATAATATTGCGTCCGAATATCCCTGCCCAAACATTTACTTTCTGTGGATATTGCGTCCTTGTTTCGACAAACCTGTGTTGGTTTTCTTTGTTCCAATATCGATAATTTTGAACATTGGATTCATTATTTAAGGTAAACGTGCATTCGTCAGTAAAACATATGTTTTTTTAAAAATTCCCTATCCGTGTTTGCTCTTTCCATCATATCAAAACAAAACGCCTGCCGCCGTATTTCGTCCCCATCTCGTAGCTCTTGGTGCTTTTCATATTTGAAGAAATAGTATTTATGTCGTTTCAAAATTCGAAACGTTGTCACTACAACGTTTCGAATTTTGAAACGACATAAACCAGACCACACTTGGTCTATTCCTATTTCATCCTCAAGTGTTCTTGTGCTGATCTTTCCATCGTTCTCTTCCACGCACAATAAAACTTCCAAGTCAGTATCATTTCTTGCATCTTCTCTTTGTTCCTGCCTTGCTTCACATCTGCAGTTATTTATTAGGGTACCTTTGGTCTCAAATCTCTGGATATTCCTTGCGATTGTAGATTTTCCAGGTATCGGTCTATTCGGATACAGAGCAGAAAACATGTCCGACACCTTTTGATAACTATTTCCTTGATAATACCATTTAATCATCAATACTTTTTCTTCGGTAGTGTAATTCATGGCTAATATTTTCGGTGTAGGTATGACTTTTTAATAATAATAATAAAGCACTAAATTGATAAATCTCTGAAATGACAACTTCATTTGACAGGTATCTTTTACCTTGACTGGTGCTCATAAGTAAATACAGGGCAAAATAAAAACACTAAATACTGGGCCATAAGAAAGGAGAAATATTTAAAAAGAAATCGGCGATAACTCGTAAACGGGCTAATCAAAAATATCTAAAGTTATTCTTTTGAATGTGGGTTTTAGTGCTCTTCAATAAACCTAAATAGTATTATTCTCTAAAATAATTAGGGAAGCCAATAATTGACCCCATTAAAATTTACATGGGATTTCCTATGTCCCGCTCGACGATGCAACACCCGGTATCTCTTCCCGTCGTCGGAAGCTTAAAAAACAGAAAGAACAAAAAAAAACTATTTAAAATATTTAAATGCAACTATTCGAGAACACTTTAGTTTTTTCAAACAGATACGTCTATAAAAACTGTTGTTGTTAATTTTGTACATCTAACTTCGACTGTTTTTATACAGGTAGGTATCTGTTTGCAAAAAAACTAAAGTGTTCTCGAATAGTTGCACTTAGATATTTTTTTCCATAGCAGTTGTTAAAATTGTCTTATATCTATCAAAAATAGTAGATAAAATAGTACTTTAACCGCAAGGGTAGATTAAATGATACTTTAAGATTAAAAACTATATTTCTTCATGAACGTTTTTTAAATGTTTCCATTTTTGAAAATTTTGTATTCCTTTTCATAAATTATTCGGGATTTAATTTTGATGACGGATGAGTAACTGTCAAAGTCAGAGAAATTTGAGTGGCACTAATTCATAATCCTTGAATTATTGTTGTTACATTCATATACAAATAGAATCAAAGAGAGACCACTTCTAGTTTTCTACGTTTTTATCGACTGGAAAGTTAGCAACCGGTAGTGGCTAGACAGCTAATTTTTCATTTTTTCCTTTGTTTATAAGCTTAAAACTACGTAAAATTCAAAATTTGAAGTTTGTGACTCTTCTAGAAGTACTTTAGAATTTTGATGATGTGTCAGTGAGTCAATATCGAAATTAAAAAAAAATTTAACAAGCATAAATTCATTAACTATGAGATATAATTACTAGATATTTTGTTATTCTAGCCAGCTATAGTATGTCTCTATATATAGTAAAAATTAATATTCTAGCTTTATCATCAACGAAGTTACAGGGTGGTCAAAAGTGCCGTTAATACCTTCGAGAACCTTCGAGATGGTTTGGTTTGGTTTGGAAACCTTCGAGATGGTACGGCTGTGCTCGATTTGGCAGGGGCATTGCCAAGCCTCTTTAAACGCCAGATAGCGAAACTTTGAATATTAATACTCTAAAGAGCTTAAAAAATGCTGAAAAGCAAAAGTAAGAGAAATTAGAGAAAAATATTGGTGAGAAAAATAGTAGCAGAAAATGGGAAAGAAAACAGATGGTAAATATTGGTGACGCTTTCAATATTTTAAAAACTCAGAAATATTAGTATTTAATAGTAATAGCAGTAATTAGTAATTAATTTATTAGTATAACATTACATATTATGTAGCTTTAAATATAAATATTTATTTAAGAATATATAACAGATATATTTACAAATATATTATTACAATTATTTATACAAATATATTATTACAATTATAATAATATTAAATATATCATTAATATATTATTATACAATATAACAACTCAGCCAAACCATGTTGATTAATGATATATCAGTCCCCACTGTATGGAATTTAAAATCTGTGAACGAAATTGAGTCCAACACGTTTATCAGTGGTATGAGAGCCCTCAAATCCTCCAAAATGGCGATCGATTCCACCACCAAGGTTTAAGGTCGACTCTCCATACTGGCTTTTCTTGGACCACACTGGCACCATGGCATCCACACTGACATCATGGCCATAGCCGTTAGCATGAGCATACGATACTTTAGCACCAGATCCTGTAAATTAAAAATATATAAGCTGAGTAACAAAAATTTCTTAAAAAAAATGTTGTTACTCAAAACTTCGTCTTTATTTTTGCTTTTGGCAATAGAGGGTGTCAAAAAATCTCATGAAGCTATCACGAGCTTCATGTGATGTTATTCCACGAGTTTTCGATTCATGTGAGACCTCCAGGAGCAGAAATAAAAAATAAATAATATTTATTTATAGTGTTATTGTTAGTGATAATATTTTCTGTGAATTACTGTAAAAACTTTTCAATAAACATTTTAATAATAATTTCAATTCGGTCATAGAAAAAATGTTGTGTGTAACATGAGCAAAAATTATATTTGTTGCATTCAGCATGATTGCAGCTCAATATTTCGTCTCGAGCTGGAAAACGCATGCGTCGTGCTACAAATATGTCCTTGCACTAGTTACACAAATGACTATTTTAAATTAATGATACAAGTTTGATACGAATATTATAATGAAACGCGTGTAACGTTAAGTTTGTGGCTTAGTTATATTTTAAACATCATATAACAACATATTATTATTATTTAACTGGCATATTTTGAACATCTTTCAAAACATAGGAAGGCAAAATTTAATCTACGACGCGACACGAGGGACGATCCAAAGAGATTTGATTTAATTTAAAATATCAGAGATATCCTCATAAAAATTAAAATTCAAAATTATCAGGTGCCCATATTAGTCGACGCCGCGCCGTCGTAACCGTGCTTGTTGATTGTTTCCATTTTGACTTTGATAACTCAATTATTGATGTTCAGTTTTGTGTTAAACGTTCAGTTTTAGCAAAAAGCAAAGAATAATATTAATATGGATGATTCTGATTCTGAAAGTGTCCCTTCGGATATTGAAGGCATTGCGCAAAACGTTGTCGATTCCCTACTTCCCGAAAAATCAAGACAAACGTACGAGCAAGCCTATGTAAAATTTGAAGATTGATGAAAAGAGAAAGGAATTAAGAATAGTAGTAACGAAAAGGTTCTCCTGGCATATTTTGAACATCTTTCAAAACATAGGAAGGCTTCATCACTTTGGGTATATTATTCCATGCTATGTTCAGTTATATCAGTGAAGATATTAGTAAGTACGTCCATTTAATTGCATTTCTACAAAGAAAATCGGAAGGATTTACGTAAAAAATCGAGAATTTTAAGAAAAGAAGACATAACTCGTTTTTTGTTGGAAGCCGATGATAAAACTTATTTCCTGACAAAAGTTTCATTGATAGTGGGATTTGCGGGAGCCTGCCGGCGTATCGAGTTGACAAATCTGCAGCTGCAAAATGTTAAAGATGAAGGACAACGCATTCATGCCATTATTCCAATTACGAAAAAAAGGGAATGTTGAAGGAATAAATATGTTGGAAATGGTTCGAAGATGCGGCCAAGCAACACAGAGCATACTCGATTTTTTGTGGGGTACAGAAATGGAAAATGTATTAAGCAACCCATTGGCATTAATACTTTAGGGAAAATGTCGTATAAAATAGCATTGGTGCTAAGTCTTCTAAATCCAGAACAATACACTGGACATTGTTTCCGTAGATCGTCTGCGTCGTTGCTTGCAGATTCAGGAGTGGATTTATTAACTGTTTAAAGACATGGTGGTTGGCACTCTAACACAGTGGCAGAGAGCTATATAGAAAATTCCAAAGAAAATAAAAAAAGTGTCATGTAATATTTTGGGTAACATTTCTGGCAATGTTGAGTCTTCAACAAGTTCAAGCACTCAGGAAATAAATTTACTTTCTAAAAATTCAACTCACCTGTCATCGTCTGGAATTAATTTAAACAATTGTACTGATATTATAATTAATGTTTACAATAAATAAACGTATTTAGGTACCTTTTTTTGCTTGTTTCTTATTTTAAAATTTGCGTGTTATTATGAATTCATAATAGCACTAGTGCTATTATGAAAGCCATAATGACATCCAAATGACATGTTAAATGTGTCATTGTCTTGTTGAAGTACATTGTCGTATATTAATAATTTAATGTTTGTAAATATATTTTGTCACAACAATGAAAACTCTAAACACATCATAAAATAAATTTAATTTAGCTTTGTCACCTGATGAAGATGTAGTACAGTGAAAGATGTAGTGCTTTTTGAAAACATACAGAGTGAGTCTTAAATAAGTGCAAATATTTTCACAGGACTGGTAGATCTCGATTAAAAAAACATATTTTCTCTTTACCGTCTTTTATAAAAAAAATCGAAAATAACCGAGATATGTCTGCTAGATTTTGAATAAGGCAACATAGGTTGAAAATTGTCTTGATGATAGCCAATATATTATTTTTTTTAAATAATCCTTTTTCAAAATATACAAACTTTTCGTTATTCTTTTCTCGCGAAAAAAAATGCATAGACGGGGGGGGGGGTTGAAATATACCATCCTTAAAAATATTTGTACTTATTTAACTTATTTAAGGCTCACTCTAAGCAGAGGAAGGTAGAATTTAGAATGAGTGGGAGGGGGGTTAATCACTGCGACTTTACAGATCTATTGTGTCCCCTTTTCTTTCGTTATAACTCATCATACAGTCCCAGGGCTTTGACAAAAGCCAGTATCTGGGACGGTTTTATAGAAGGTAGTTCTCCATCTCCAATATCAGCCGTACCAAAGTTCATGGCACAAATGGTTGTCTTCTCGGCGCACTCAGTGATGAGGTGTACTGGTGTTTTCCCATTTTCCCCACAGAATCTGCATTCGCCGTTTCTTCTTAGTTTTAATCTACTGATGTGTTCATTGAGGAGACAGTGTCCTGTTAAAACAGAAGATTGACAATCCGAAGACAATCCGAAGATTGTTCTTACTTAAATCCAGTAAGATCTTTGATTTGTCTTGATCGTAAGCCCTCAGAAACTTCTTCGAGTGTCTTAGACCGTTGCATGATTCCCATTCCAGGTTGAGGATGGAGTCTTCCAAGTTCTTGAGTTGGTTACCACTTGGAAAGCAGAACGGTTCTGGTCCAGTTAGTAAAGTGTTCGCTCCTTTTCTAGCTAGATCATTTGCTTTTTCATTGCCTTCTATCCCTTGGTGAGCAGGCACCCAGAGTAGGAGGACTTTGTTTTCTTTGCCTAATTTATTCAGCTTCTCTATGCATTCTTTGTCCAATTTCGAATTGATTGATACTGAGTTGATCGCTTTTAACGCTGCTTGACTATCAGATAAGATGGCTATATCTTGTTTCCGATAGTTCCTATCTAAGGTAAGTTGTACGCATCTTTCGATAGCGTAGATTGCTGCCTGTATGATGCTAGGGTAGGTGCCCATTGGTTCGGAGTATATAGTTCTCGACCCAAATACTCCGATCCCTATTCCCGAATTGGTTTTGGAAACATCAGTATACCAAGTTATGGTATGGTCTTTTAACTGCTGGGCAGACGTTTCTCTCTTCCAATCCTTAATTATTATTTACGTATTATTATTATTACGTATTTGTTTTATAATCCGGTAAAAATAAACATGTTTTTTTATATGGATATAAACCAATTATCAGCTGAATCAATCGAATTATTAAGAGAAATATTCGGAAATCTTACCATTTGGATAATCTACTCCTACAGTTCCTCTTTGTGTTTGACTGTTAGCACCTCCACCTCCAAACCATTTTCCATCTTCTCTGAAATTTACACAAATTTAAATTTTTTGAAAATATTTTTCTATTGATAATATTTATTAGAATGAACATTTATATTTGATATCAATTAAACTTTTAGTTACATAAAGGGTGCGATTTTTAAATCCATTGTTGCCAATCATGGACATATTTGGCGCCGGGATGACTAACTGGTAGGTAGCTCTGCTGTAAAAAATGTCAAGTTGTCCTATTTATTTATTTATTTCCTGGCATTGTCTGACTTTTTTGTTATTTATCACGGCCTACTAATAAGAAAATGATATATTTTAAATATTGCAGTGAATAGTAAAAATAAATATAGAGTGATGTATATTTTTGAGAAGGCCATAGCAAGACGGATCATATGATTTATAAATATACAGGGTGTTCCATTTAAAAAAACATAACTTCAGTTCATATTTTCAAAAATACTTTTTTCATAGAAAAACAGACTACGCCACTGTATTCTACACAAAAAGTTCTACAAAAATCAGTTTTCATCTTCTCGACATCATCCATAATAACGGAGATATGGGGGCTGTCCCAAGTGGCGAAATTTTTAAAAAGACCCTGTAGCTCAGAAACGAAGAGGGCTATAAAAATTTTGTTTACGGCATCTTTCGTTTGACAAAAAATGGGACTGGTTTGTGCAAACCGCACCCTTCTATCTTCACTAATAACGGAGATACTGTATGATTTCAATCAAACTGGGACACCCTGTACAGTTAAAAATATTTATGTTGAAAGATCACAGATTTTATCTCTATCTCATGACATGTTATGTTCTATAAAATAAATGAAATATTAATAATTATAGAAAAATAAAGACAGAGAAAAACTAGATTGGCTTTATGTCTAATTAAGTAACTATTATAAGATATCTATGGGTAATTAATTTCTCAAATTTAGTTTTATCATTTCATGGTTTATTCAACGATAACATATCACCCTAGAAAAATAATTAATCTTAATTTACAATGACTGTAAATTCTTATTTTAATTGTTCTCTTTGAATATTTATCCTATTATCACAATTCCCTCGAAAAGGCAAATATCGGAGTCAATATTGAATTTTATTACAAATAATCGTTTTTAACGTATATTTGTATTTCCATAGCAGACAAGCAGCGTTGTCAGTTGTAGTGTATTGTAATAAATTTGTTACATTAGTACTGGTGGTATTTTTTTTATTCCTAATGGATACAGTAACTTCACCAAAAGTCATAAGAAGCTAGGGCCTTGTTACGTAAGAAAGATGCTCTTCGTTTAGTTGGAAACGGTGGACGATTTTCAAGATATTTTTGCGTTGGCCATTTTAATATTAGCGAAATCATGAGATGTAAGAAAATTTGTGATAGGTATTCTGGAAGAATTTTAATGAAGTAATAATAATAATAAATAATGTTTTATTATGCAAAAAGTCAAAATAGCTTCATCGACAAAGCATTTACAAAACAAACAAAGCATAAAAAATATACAAATAATAAAAAATATACAATACAAATCATAAAATTCAAAAACAATTAAGTCATTAAAATTACAAATAGAATAGAAATAGAATATAAAAAAGGCGTATCAATAAAATTTTACAATAGAAAAATTGTAAATGGATATAATGTTAAGTGTTATAAAATATTAAATACTCGACCTTTGACCAGTGTGTGAGATGATCAAAATTTTAAAATTCAAAATTGTTCATTATATTCATGATTAAACATCAACAAAGAAGTCATTTTATTTCTGCGTTTACCGCAGATAGGGCTCTCTCCAGTAAGTATGATTTGAGAACTTTGCGAAATGCGGAAAAGAATGAAAGCGACTTCATATTCAAAGGCAGAAGATTGTACATTTTTTGACATTGTACAGTATTGAGCCTTTAACTAGTTCTGAGCTCGGGGTTGGCAGATAAAGGTCGTGCTCCGCATTCATATAGTTGTGAGATGGCTTTTCGAGAATAGCAGATATGTGCTTGCGGATTAAGCAAACGGATTCAAAAATGAATAAAGAAGGAAGAGTCAGTATTTTGAAATTTTTAAAGAAATTCTAGCAGTCAGTTCTACTGTTCAGTCCCAATCAATATCGAACTGCTCTCTTTTGAAGTTTGAAAATACGATCAAATTTTGTTGCGCAACAAGTACCCCAGAATGGAAGGGCATAACGAAGATGTGACTCAAAAAGGGCATAATAGGCAATTCTAGAGGTTGATAAGTTAAGTTCCTTAGAAACTGATCTTAGCGCAAAACAGGCAGCTCTTGGTTTCTTTGATAAAGCTTCAATGTGCAAGTCTCATTTTAACGCGTTGTCTACAAAAAGTCCTAAGAATTTCACAGAGCCGACGCCGTCAGTAGCGGTGTTATTAAGTACATAAGGTTGTATAGTACTTTTATATGACAAAACTTTAGATTTTGATAGGTTGAGGCATAGAAAATTAGAATCGCACCAAGATTTAATGGTGCATAAGTCACTGGATATAGTATTATACATATAGTACCGTAACATCTGTGTCGCTCCAAGTGAAACTAGTTTCGTGCGCAAAGAGGAAGATTTTACCGCTAATGTCTAGATTTGCAATGTCGTTGATAAACACCAGAAACAAAATAGGGCAAAGTACTTCCAAGAAGACATAGACGTATCAATCCTCACAAGCTGCCTTCTGTTGCCAAGATATGACTTAAGTCGAGCGGCACTCCCCTGAATACATAGTATTGCAATTTGTTACAATATTATGATTTACACAGTCGAAAGCCTTAGAGAAATCATAGAAAATTGTAGCTGTAGAGTGACAAAAGAGTGTGTTTAAACAATTAAGAATGTATTTGCATGCCAGATATCATCAACATCATCATCATTTTTAGCTTATTCAACCATTTCCAATTATGGTGTATCTTCCCTCACATGTTTAGATACTCTCTTTGTAGTTGGGTTTGTTTGACTATAGTTGACTATGACCTTCTAATTTTCTTATATCATGGTCCCATCTCCAGTTTGGTCTTCTTCTACATCTCTTATTTCCTCGTGTGTACCACGCTGTAATTCTTGTGGTCCATCTATTGTCCGTTCTGCTTGCCAGGTGTCTTCTTTGTATGACATCTATTACCTGGATTTTTTGTCGTATTGACTCTATTTTTTTTCGGTCTTTTTTCATTATTCCCAGTTATTTTGTTCCAGTAAGCGTTGTGAGGTCTGTTTTAAGTATCTAGGTCATGACTGGTAGTACACATTAGTCGAATGTTTTCTTCTTTAGATAAAGTGGCATTTTAGATTTGAGTATGATTGAGCTTCTTCCATAAGTACTCCATGCTAACTTAATTCTTCTGTTGATTTCTTATACTAGAGATTCCGAGCTGTGTATTAGTTGTCCAAAATATATATATTCTTCTACTATTTTCAGTGTTGTAATATTTGTTAGAATATATTTTCTGTCTACTAGTTCGTTGTACATTATTTTAGTTTTTGCTAAATCCATTTTGAGACTTACTTTATTGCTGGCTGTATTTACTTCGTTAATTTTTGCTTGTAGTTCTTCAGAACCATTGGCAATTAGGACTATGTCATCAGCGAATCTTAGGTGATTAAAATATTCTCCATCTATTTTTAATCATTTGCTAGTCCAGTCCAGTTGACGAAAGATTTCTTCTAATGTTGCTGTAAGCAGCTTTGGAGATATCGCGTCTCCCTATCGTACTCTTTATATTATTTTTTGAAATTGCTGTATCTATTAGGATAAATAAGTACCACAAGTACCACCTTCTACCCTAATGAAAGGGCCCTATAAAAACAGTTTCGAACTTTTACGATTGTCATTTGCTTTGGGAATAAAATGTGTGTGACAATAACAAATTTCAGAGAACACGGTTTACCAATATTCTTAAGAATAAACAAAATATCGAAGGGTGTCCCACTATTGGAATTACATGTACAATTTCTTGGCAATCGCTGGCAGTTGTTGGCTTCAGTCTTACGGCAGTCGAATATAATTATATGGCGCAGACATAGGCAGTCTTATTCGCAATTATTGATAGTCACTTGACAGTAAAATTATATTTTGACAATTACATGATCATATTTTATCCCAAGTGACATCCTCCGCAAAATATATTATTCTTTTTACCCTTTCGAGGGTTGTAATTTTCTCGGAAAGCATCTTAGAGCATATGTTTATAGGAACTTTCTGTTTCGTTTTTACCTGTAGAATCGCCCACTAAAGTTTGAACACAAGTTGAAAACACTATTTTTGCCACCATGTATATTATAGTCTTTTTATACAAAAATAAATATATAAATATTCGCTTTTAATATAATTAATGTACTACTTCTTTCGTTATTGCTAATATAATCTAAAATTTTAAAGGCGTTTACTGATAAAAGGAAATCTGGCATCACCGCCAAAAAGGGTAAGTCATTCAATATTCAATACTACATTTTATTTAATCATCCTAGTCAAGCAGAATAAATTTCGAAGTAAAATAATATCTGATACTTGCTAAGAGAAAGCACACTTAGATAAATAGGTATCTACTTATTCACGTTTTAAACTCATGTCCGTAACGTTTAGTTGAACCAGGCTCCGTTTGAGTTGAACTTACATCAGAAATATCATAATGGGGTAAGTATTTAATTGTTAGTTAGTTAGTTTTTTTGGCTTGTTAGATTTATATTTTAATTTTAACAACAAATTTATAAATTCAAGTACAGGTAGTTACGTGCTCGTCATAAATGTTGGGAATAAAACGCATATTAAGGTACCATAAAATAGATGATTCCGAAAAAATATTTCTTAGATGGTGTCCAATATGCAATAAAATAGATTTGGAATTAGTAATAAGTTTTATACAGGGTGAGTTATAAATAAGGGCAAATATTTCAGGCCTGGTAGATCTCGATCATATTTTCTCTTTACCGTTTTTATATATATGTCCAAAATAACCGAGTTATTCAAGTTTGAAAATTAAAAAAAAACAATAATTTATATTTAAAAAAAAATGTAAGCCACCGGAATCTTTCTGTATTGGCATCCCTCTTAGAGCCGTAACCGTGGTAATATCAAAGATTAAGAAATCAGTTCTAAAAAATTTCTAAAATATACAAAAAAATTTAAAAGAAAATGCACAATTTTCAACATCTTTTTTTCTGAAAAAAATCTCAGACGTGTTCCAGGGGTCGAAATACACCACCCCTAAAAATATTTGCCCTTATTTAAGATTCATCCTGTATAGTTTTATGAAATTAAAAGAAAAAATGAACCTTATTTTTAACTTTGCCTTGAAAGCCGGGATGAAAATAAATCATGATTATGTGAGTATATCTTTTTTTATGTTGTAGAAAATTATTATTTTCTACTATACTACACTGTTATAATAAAAAAGTATGTCGATAAAGTCCAAACTTTTCAAGGATATAAAGAAAAGCAATAAAAATCATGTCAACGAATTGACATAATCTGCTAAAATTTTTCGATAGACAATAATTTTTTTAGCATCAATATCAATCACTAATTCTATATTTCTCTAATACAGTATTGCCAGATTACAGTTGGGGGTTGGAACCTTTGGTTTTATTTTTATTTTTTTTTGTTTTATCGTTGTTGACCGCTCCGTAGTAGATATATCTAATATTTCTGTCAATACCAATCTTATATTTATTTGTGTCTATATCTATATTTAACCTATTAACAAAAACCTTATGTTGCCGACATGAGTATGAAAAATTTCACTTAAATTTTAAACCTATGAGGAATAAAAGATTTTCCTGGAGTTTCCTATTATATTTTAGAGAAAAACGTCTTGAAACTTTTTGAAGAACTCATTAAAATAAAGCAAATTGGCCTTTCTTATTATGTTCCATCACAGAATAACTAAGTTCTATCAAATACTTATTTTAGTTATAACTGGTTATAACTAAACTATGTTATCGAAAAGATAAATGGGACCCTTAGGCCAAATTATCACAATTTTGCAATTTTAGCCCAATTAAATGACTCAATCCCCCATTTTGGAATTTAAGAAATTTCAAAATACTTAAAAAGATATTATAAAATCAAAATGAAATAAGTATAAAATTCAGGATAAATTTTTTTTTATTTTTTTTTCTGTCTTTATTTGTAAAACTATTTTAAAATAAATGTATCTCGATCATTGTAACTTTTTTCTCATTAAACCATGGTACCTACTATTAAGTATCAAAACCGTCTTATAGCCTAATAATATACCGTCTTATAAATTGTTACTGTTCAGTACTGTGTAGTACCAGTGGCAGTTGCTCAAACATAAAAAAGAAAATTCAAAGAAAAAAATAAACTAATTTTTGATAAACTTTAGTATTTGGCTTATTATACAGGGTTAATTGAAAGGTTAGAAAGGGTTAATTGAAGGGAAACTTTTTCTAAAACATTATTTTTTGATCAAAACAATGTCTCCGGCACATTTTGATTTTTGACTCATGTAAACATATGCCTTGGTTAATTTTTAAAGGCGAAATGAACTTGCCACGAACAATTTGCAATATTTTTTATTATTATTACTTTTTGATGATATTTTTAAATATGAGGAGATGGCTTTGGTGAATATTGTCATAATGTCATATCGACACTGATTAGAACATAATCTCGAACATAATATTAAAATTTAAAAAAGTTAAAAAGTAGCAATAGAGGCTTGATTTTAATAAATATTCGTAACACTAACAGAACTAAGGATATTAAAAAAATAACTGCAATAACTAAGTGAACAAACAAAAAACTTGTAACAAATACTCTAATACTTTGTATTGCCTCCCCTGGCATCTATAACTGTCTCTAGAGGTCTACCTATTTTACTAGAGGCCTCATTAACAATAGGTTCATACTGTTAATGAGGCTGCAAATATATTGTGTTCCGTTTTTCTATTCTTCTTCAAGGACCAAGCGAATATTCATAATTTCGGCCATCTTCAACAAGATCAATGACTTTTGCACACTCTTCGACACTAAGAACCAAATTCAATTGTACACAACAATAATCACCAAAGCCACCTCAGTATTATTAGAATACATAAAAAAGTAACGATAATTGAAAAAATTGCAAAATGTTTTTGACAAGTTCACTTTGCTCTTGAAAATTAACAAAGGCATGTGCTGACGTGAGTCAAAAAGTAAAATATTATTCACGAGACATAGTTCTGACTGAAAAATTATGTTTTAGGAAAATTTGCTCACGAAATTATGGCACAGGGTGTTTTAAAGATAGGGTTAAAAACCACTTTTCAATTAACACTGTTATAATAAGTAAAATACTAATGTCCACTTGCACCGTTTGTATAAACTTTGTTTAAAGGCTAAACAGTGATTAACTATAATAAAATATTATATAGTCGATCACTGTTAAGCCTTTAAACAAAGTTTATACAAACGGTGCAAGTGGACATACCGTTTATAATAAACTAAGTTTACGAATTAAGTTGATATATTTATATAAAGTTTGCTAAAAAAATAGGGCTAAAAATAAAAAAAATATAACATTTAAATATAAAACTAGACAGAATTATATAGAATATAACATTTTCCGTTGTGTTTTTTTGCATCTGAGTGTTACCACAGGCAAAATAGACAATAATTTTCAGTTTCAATTAACAATAATTCGCATAGAGCTGAAAATTGGTATAGGTCTTAAGCGGGCTTGCCCCCCTTGCTTTTTTGAAGCATTCAAATTTAAATTAAACATCTTATAGATTGTGAGTTTTTGTCCCCTTACCCGCCTTCAAAGGTTTTGCTTTGATAATATGTACTGACATTGGGTTAGAGAACGTTTAGAGTATTGTGGTTAAGTTTTATTACACATTATACTATTAATTTTAAAAAACGGTGCTTTGGTAATGATTATAGTTGAACGGATTATTGTTGATTTTGGGAGAATTTTAATCTGAGTGGTAATCTTCAAATGATACTTCAACAGTAATGTCTTCTTCGCTTTCTTCTTTCTCACCTTCTTGCGGAATATCTAGAAATCCATCTATGACAGATGCATCACTTGTCTCCTCATCAAAATCCTCATCTGTATTTAAGTTATTAAACCTTGGCAATTAGTACATATTGGTGTACAAAACAATCCGACTCTTTTACAGCCACAGTTTGCGATACAACCCTTTTTGCAATTGCAAAAAATTATGTTAAGTAGTTTCTCTGGAGCAGGTGGCAGTAAAGTTTTAATCGGCCCCAAAGTATTATCTATAAATCTCCAACCCCAGTCTTCTGGGTTCAGTTGATTACCTAGCCACAATTGAACTTGATAGTATACACGATATAAGTGTTGACAGGCAGAAGCAGATGTTGGAGGAAGACAAGAAAGTTGTACCATTTTATTGTTCCGAGTATTTTTAACAAAACTTAAATATCTATACTTGTCTATAGAATCAATTTTTTCGGAGCACCATATATAGCGAGAAGTAAGCGAATTCCACTTGTGATGATGACTTGTGGAGAAGAGTCAATATTTTTGAATACGTCTGCACAATCAATTAAATCATTACGTGTTTCAAACATTTTAAATACTGATTTTTTACCCCTTTTAAACAATGCAAAAGTAGTGTCGCAGCCAGCCATTGCGTGTAGAAGTAAGACATGAGATTGACATTGTCAATCTGTCTGATACATCTGTCATAGATGGATTTCCAGATATTCCGCAAGAAGATGAGAAAAAAGAATGCGAAGAAGACTGAGAAGACATTACTGTTGAAGTATCATTTGAAGATTACCACTCAAATTAAAATTCTCCCAAAATCAACAATAATCCGTTCGACTATAATCATTACCAAGAGCACTGTTTTTTTTAAAATTAATAGTAGGTATAATGTGTAATAAAACTTAACCACAATAGATCCTGGACTAGGCCTACAGGGGAAACCACGTTAAAAAAAAAAGCGCCACGTACACTACCTCACAGGTGGAGCGGAAATGCGTGCATATTATGAAAAATACGAGTTTTTCAACTTTTGAAATCGCCATATCTCAGGAATGGTGGTTCGTAAGAAAAATGTATAAGAACCATTATTGTAGAAAATTTAATGGTCTACAACATTTGTTTAAGGTACTTTTGCGATAGCGCTTACCGTTTAGGAGAAAAAAAGCAAAAAACATATTTTAAACCTTTGACCTTAAATAATTTTTTTAGCACACGTGGGAGCGGTGGGACTTTTCAGGTATCATTTATAATAATGTATTTAAGACCTGTACCAATTTTCAGCTCTATGCGAATTATTGTTATTTAACCCCCTTTTTTTGTTTATTTTGACTAGGGTATGTAGTTTGCATCACGCAAGCCGATGTAACTTTTACACAATAGAATGTAAATTTTCATAAAAAACTATGCATTTATTCGAAACATTGTCTAAATATGTGAGTACTAGATAAATATTTGAATGAAAAACCGGTTCATGTCAGTTAATATTGTTACTATGTCACGAGAATCGGCTGCTATTGTTTAAAGATAAAGTAAAAATTGTTTCGTCTAGACCAAGAACGGTAAACTAATAGGATTGCTCATCCTCATAAGACGTACGTTCGCCTCTTCCCGCGCTTCAGCTGACAGTTGTGACGTCATTGTAGCCCTTGTCAAAGCCTTCGTGGCCTTGTCATGATAGTGTGTATTATTAGTTGCCTATGGTAAACTTATAAAAATAACAGCTGAGAAATTTTGAGTTAATTATTTTGTCAATTTTAAATGTGAAAAAGGTGTCTTTAAAGTTTTTAGAGCTATATAGTGTATAAATACGTTCGTTTTGTGTTGTGGATTGTGACAAAGTGCATACTAAGTGCCCACGATTTTGTTTATTAATTATTTTAAAGCAAAAATATGGAAGTACTCTAAAAAAGAATGCTTGCAAAGGTGATGCTGGGAACTGCTGTTCTTAAAAATGCATTATCCGAGTATTTAATACGATTTATACAGTTAATTTTCTATACTGCATACATATAAGGTGTTTAAATAAATAAACTAAATAATGAACGTTTTGCATTCGGTAACCAATAATGCACGTGTGTGTATTATTGGTTGCCGGATAAGGACTAATAACCATGACAATGGCTACAATGACGTCACAAAGCGAGTAGTTTTCGCATGCACCTGGCGGACACTTTTGGCTGAATGAGCAGTCCTATTAGGTTAACTGTTCTTGAGTCTAGACGGCTAAAAAGTGGCATATATCTGGTTTTCTCGATTATGAGGATACGGAAAAAAACTTATAAATTATCATCGTTTCACATTCTCCAGCAGTCTTCGACGCCGTTTTTTTTTCGGTTGTATGGTATTAAAGAAGAATTACCTAAAGAATATTACCTTTTTTGACGGCTTGAAACTGAAGTTAAAGTATAAATTTGTCCATTTTCGTCACGAACTAGCAATGGTGTACAGCCTGCAAAAGCCAATGTGGCTATCAGCAATATTACAGCTTTCATCTTGAATATGATTTTCAAAGCGGTCCACTTAAATGTTACAGATGCTTCGCGTTGTAGATTTCACTGAGTTTTTTTGCACATTTTCTCCGTTTTATAGTTTTTTCTTAATGTTGTAAATTACCGTTTCCGAAAATACCCTTTTCGAATATCAGTAGAGGTCAGGGGACAAGTTGCACAAATTTAAAATATTAAGTATACCGGGTGCGTTTCAAAAGTGGCTCACTCCTATAACATATCTATTTTTTCAGATAATAAATGCGATTTGGTATGTTAGTATATGACATAAATTAGGATTGATTGACGTATTTAATTGTTTTTCGTTACTTTCTGTTTCGCCGGAAATCACTACAACTTTTGATTTTTAAATGACAACCTCAGTGTTTTTCTACTTTATTCGATATAAAATGACACTCTGAATAGAATGACATATCATATTATGTCAATTTGTGACATTTTCTCATATGGTTTATTTGAAATTGTGTACGTGGTTCATAACCGGGGCGGAAAAGTGAAATAGCAAAAGCAATTCCACAGTTTCCACGGAAATTTCAAATAAAATAGTTCCAGCCTCAGGCGCTAGGTGGTAGTGCAATTAATTTTTTGGTTAAAAAGTTGCTACTAGTTATTGCCAGATGGCGTTAAATCAGATTTTTTTTTGTAGTTTCCATAGTTTCCAACGGCCATTGTCGTACTATTGTCAAATTCTCAAAAAATATTGTCGTTGTCATTGTGCCAATCATAATATTATCAGGGGCGGGAAAGTGAAATAGCAAAAGCGGTTCCACCGTTTCCACGGAAATCTCAAATAAAATAGTTCCAGCCCTAGCCACTAGGTGGTAGTGCAATTAATTTTTAGGTTAAGAAGTTGCTACTAGTTATTGCCAGATGGTGTTAAATCAGAATTTTTTTGTAGTTTCCATAGTTTCCAACGGCCATTGTCATATTATTGTCAAATTCTCAAAAAATATTGTTGTTGTCATAGCACCAATCATAATATTATCAAATAAATGATAATCAAAATGTTTTTCAAACTATAATTTGTTATATGTGTTTTACAATTTCTTTTGTTTGTGGCCCTGTAGCTCCTAGAATAAAAAACTTGAGAATTTTGTTTACGTGCAGACCTAAAGTATGTACCAGGATTTATTTCGGGAAAATATTTTAACTTCTATAGGGTGGCTCAAAAGTGTGTGAGTGGATGGATGATTTTTTAAATGGAACACCCTGTATATTATTGCATTTTTCGCATTGGCTTCCTTTCAGATCACTTTATAACCCTCCTATGAATAAATATATTTCGATAGTTTCAGAGATATTAAAAATAATAATTAAAAATATATATTTTCAGCCCTTCTTAAAAAAATTATTAAAAATACAAAAACTGTCCTGAAATCAAAACTATATTAGGTATTTACATTAGATAGTCTGTTCTCACTCTATAAATATGATAATCGTAAATCATACAGGATGTTCAATATTCTACGCCAAACTTTCTAAAATATAAAATATTTTTTCTTTGTTTTTTTAAATGGAACACCCTGTATATTATTTTTTTATTAGATGGAGAGTAAAAAAATGAACATTTTTTGTATTTAGAGTATTTCAAAATTCTTAACGATTTCGCAAATACACGCAGTTATTATTTCATATGGCGCTTTCAATGGTAAAATATGAGAGAAAAATCATTGATTGGTTTTGATAAAAATTTACTGTGGAAAATGCCATATGAAATATAAAACCGCAAATATCTGCGAAACCGTTCAAAATTTTGAAATACTCTAAATACAAAAAAATGTTCATTTTTTAATTCTCCGTCTATTGAAAAAATAATATACAGGGTGTTCCATTTAGAAAAATGAAGTTTGGCGTAGAATTTTGAACATCCTGTATAATTTAAGATTTTCATATTTATAGAAAAGTAAGAACAGACCATCTAATGTAAATACCTAATGTAGTTTTGATTTCAGAAAAGTTCTTGTATTTTTAATAATTTTTTTAAGAAGGGCTGAAAAATATATATTTTTGATTTATTTTTTAATATCTCTGAAACTATCGAAATATATTTATTCATATCTTAGGGTTATGTAACGTGATCTGAAAGGAAGCCAAAAATGAAATAATATACAGGGTGTTCCATTTAAAAAAAATCATCCAGGTCCACTCACACTTTTTTGAGCCACCCTATAGAAGTTAAAATATTTTCCTGAAATACATCCTGGTACATACTTTAGGTTGGCACTTAAACAAAATTCTCAAGTTTTTTATTCTAGGAGCTACAGATGCCCGACGCACTATTGCCGGACCCTGTATGTGTTTTAATTAGACAATTCCTTTTGTTTGTGGCCCTAAAAATATAATGTAAGTCTTTTATTTTTGCCATCATTTAAGTACCTATTTATAGGTATTTTCGTTTTCCTGTAATTACCGATTCTGAACCGTCCTAGAACTCTGCAGCGCATGCGCAAATGAAATAATGTCTTCATATTTCCTTCTGCGCATACGCATCACAGTTCTAGGACGGTTCAGAATCGGTAATAACAGGAAAAAAACGAAAAAAGCTTATATTTACTTCATTTACAAAATTTTGGGCGTATTACGTTGGTCTTGTTTTATTATAATAAACGATGTTTAAATATTTGACTTATAAATAAAAACTTTAAATAATAAATAATATTTCACATGTTTGGCTTTAATTTTATTTAATAATTGTATAAATTATACTGTTAAATCTTATTTTTTACACATCACAACGATACTTGTTATTACTATTGTTGAATTTGTGTAAAAAATAAGATTTAATTATCAAATTTAATTATTTTAGAGTAAAATTCAATAAAAACGCTCATTTAAAAAGCCCGCGCTTCGATCCATTTAAAACAAGCCCTACTCAATAGATGGCGCCACTTCTGTAGGACCATTTTTCAGTATAGCAGAGTCCATTCTTTTTCTAGCTAGGTATATTCTTTGAATATTATCAAATGATTATCAAAACATTTTTCAAACTATAATTTGTTATATGGTTACAATTAGATTAGACAATTCGTTTTGTTTGTGGCCCTAAAAATATAATGTAAGTCTTTTATTTTTGCCATCATCTAAGTACCTATTTATTTTTTGCCATCATTTAATTTATTTGCCATCATTTAAGTACTTATTTACTCCATTTACAAAACTTTGGGCGTATTACGTTGGTCTTGTTTTATTAGAATAAAAGATGTTTAAATATTTGACTTATAAATAAAAATTTTAAATAATAAATAATATTTACACATGTTTGGCTTTAATTTTATTTAATAATTGTATAAATTATAATGTTAAATCTTTTTTTTTTACAAATCACAATACTTGTTATTAGTATTGTTGAATTTGTGTAAAAAATAAGATTTAATAATCAAATTTAATTATTTTAGAGTAAAATTCAATATATACGCTCATTTAAAAAGCCCGCGCTTCGATCCATTTAAAACAAGCCCTGCTCAATAGATGGCGCCACTTCTGTAGGACCATTTTTCAGTATGGCAGAGTCCATTCTTTTTCTAGCTAGGTATATTCTTTGGTTCGTAAGGACAATTTGTTCCGAAATACCAAGTGTGAGGTAACAAATTATTCATAAAAAATTCTTTTTACAAATATGCTTATGATCCACTCTTATTCTATATGAAAACATTGAGATATGATTAGAAATACGATTTGGGCACCTTTTAACTGGCCAGGACAAGACACGAAAAACATTAGATGATCAAATATATTTTTCCAAGGTTCCTTGATTAAAAATTAGTGTTTTTAACACAGCCATATGACACTCTAGATTGAAATTTACAATACAATTTTTTTTAAGCAGGAATGTTAAAACTTGACATATTATGTCACTTTATTCGGAGTGCCATTTTTTATCGCATAAAGCAAAAAAATACCGACGATGCAATTTAAAAATCAGAAGTTGTAGACATTCCTGGTGAAACAGGGAGTGACCGAAAAAGACTGAATACGTCAATCAATCCTATAATATATATAATTATGTCATATACTAACATACCAAATCTCGTTTTTTATCTAAAAAATTAAAAAGGTGAGCCACTTTTGAGACGCACCTTTAAAAACATCGTGTATATTTTTTGATATTTATATCAAAAATCTTTTGTGCTTGCTTCTCAAAAAAGTAGAACACTTATACAGGGTGTTCCTTAATTACATGATAATATTTAAGGGGGTAATTCTTGAACCTATTCAAAGAAAAATACTTCATATGAATGTATATCCTAAACATTTTATCTTTTGAGATACAGGTTGGTAAAATCTCTGAAGATATTATAGAATTTTATACACGTCTTCTATGTACAGAGTGTTTCATTTTGATTGAAATCATAGTAGAGTATCTCCGTTATCCGTGAAAATAGAAGGGTGCGGTTTGCACAAACCTGTGCCACTTTTTTGTGGAAGATGCTGTCAACAAAATTTTCATAGTCCTCTTCGTTTCTGAGCTACAGGGTCTTTTCGAAAATTTTGCAATTTGGGACAGCCGCCGTATCTCCGTTATTATGATTGATATCGAGAAGGTAAAAACTGACACTCGTAGAACTTTTTACGTGGAATATAGTGGCGTAGTCTGTTTTTCTACGAAAAAAATATTTTTGAAAATATGAACTAAAGTTATGTTTTTTCAAATGGGACACAATGTATTTATAAATCATATGATCTGCCTTGCTATGAGCTTCTCAAATGGATATATATATATCATGTATTTTAACTAAAACTAAAAACATTTCCAAAAAATTTTTCAAAAAATTCCAAATTTTCTCAAAAAAAATGATAGGTGTGTTTCTGAGACCGAATATACTGTTAAAATACTTGCACTTATTTCTGGGACACCTTGTATATTAATAAATAAAATATGTTTCCACCCTTTGTAATATATATATATATATATATATATATATATATATATATATATATATATATATATATATATATATATATATATATATATATATATATATATATATATATATATATATATATATATATATATATATATATATATATATATATATATATATAACAGACAATAGGCCCGAATCCACAAAAACATATATACCATATATATAGATATATATATTATTTATATATATATATATATATATATATATAGATATATATTACAAGGGGTGGATGGGGAAGTGGAAACCGGCCTGGGAATAACAGACAACCGGCCCGAATCCACAAAAACAAAATGACCATAATGAAGAAACATATATTATTTCTTAATATACAAGGTGTCCCAGAAATAAGTGCAAGTATTTTAACTGGTAGTATATTACGGCCTCAGAAACACGCCTATCATTTTTTTTGAGAAAATTTGGAATTTTTTGAAAAATTTTTTGGAAATGTTTTTAGTTTTAGTTAAAAAACATGATTTCTTGATAATCTAGCAACATATGTAGGTAGTAGATTAAATTTGCATGAAAGAAATTCCAGAAAAGATCCAGTGGTTCTCAAAATTTAAGCAAAAAAGCATTTTTTGTTTAAATTCTCAAAGTAAAATAACTCGGTTATTTTGGACTTACTTGAAAAACGGTAAAGAAAAAAAATGTTTCTTTTGACAAAATCTACCCCCCTTAAAATACTTGCACTTATTTCTGGGACCCCCTGGGTAAGGGTCAAATCACCCCAAGTAAGGGCGATTTTCGTTCGGGCGAAAAAATCTCTTTTGCCTCCGATTTTTTAAAAATATTGAAATTGTCTTGATCAAAATTTTTATAAAGATCAATATCGGGTCGGACATCTGAATTTTTACTAGAAAATAGCTCAGTTTCACAGGGTTCTACTGTTTGGTCTGTTCTGTTGGTCTTCAATATGCTACGATTTTGAATCACGATATTGAGAAATTTTAAGACTTCCTGATTCATTCAGTTCACTTGGCCCAATCCTCTGTGAAATACATTATTTTTAGCTTTTCAGGTATATATTTTCTTACAGATTGTAGAAAGAAATTCTCTCTTTGCTGGTACAGCAGCAGCCTCGTCATGTATACATGTTTTAATTTTGGTATAATTCTCATCACGTAACTTTGCCTCGTTTCTACATGTGGCATCTTGTATGATAATGCCATGACTCAAACGAAAAAAACCTAGGCAATACCTTGGAAACATATTAATATTTTATTATCTAATCTTCTTCTTTCTTGATTGGTTTTACGGCCTAAGCTTCCAGGACTATACGGCCAGATTATCTAATCTAGTTAGAACCTCATTTAACTCTTCTCTGCTATGACTAATTTTTAGTAAAACTATTCTAGCAAAATTTAAACAACAACTTAGACTTAACTTTTAGTTCTCAGACTTGGCTTTTAGTCCTTCCCCAATTCAAATCAAGCATAGAGATAGTTATCTTCATGTTTTCTCTGTCAACCGCAGAGTTTTTTGCGTCAAATTTGTCTACCTTTTTACTCAGAGGAGTTCGAAAAGTATTGCACCGAGGCCCCCAGTTGTCAAGCTACGCTACCGTATTCCTAATTCCTAGTATCACAGAATATCTAGCTACGCAACAGAAGCCTCGTTACATGTAAAAAATCGTAGGTCTCAAAAGGAGACAGACTTTTAAAGCCTGTCTCCAAATCAGATATTTTGATGCGGTAGTTTCACTACTACATAACAGAGGGCGATAAATTTAAAAGAAAACAGTTTTCTACAAACGAAATTTAAAAGAATTTTATGCAGTGTTGCCATTATGTAATTTATATTGTAATACTTCCTGATAAAGCCTACGTTCAAATTTGCTACATCATTTAAACATATTAAAATAGATTAGAGCTCTTTTTTCAAACATTTAAGTATTTAACTTGCCATGTTAGTTGGAGTTAAATCTTACGAGCTGAATTAAAACCACTTCCTGACGTTTGATTCTAACTGAATACTAAATTTTGATTGTAATTCGGCGACAATATAATAAGTATTGTTCTACTATTATGACACCACTTCCTGACGTTCAATTGTGTTCATACCGTATAATCGGGAAAAAATGGCGTTAGCGATTGCTATGAAATGAAAACCGCTGTCATTTTATGTGTAAATTTATATGGGAAATGTCATCGATCGTCTTTTCCCAGCCAATTGGACGCCGTTTTTTTTCGGTATCATACGGTATTTGATATATACTTGCGTATTTTTCATGACATTGCAATATTATGGTACCATGAAGCATATCAAGTGATACCGTAATATAGTACCATATTACGATACATAGCGTTCGATTGGGCTTAAACTTGGCATATTTATATTACGTATCTTCAGTGACATTGTAATATTATGGTACCATGAAGCATATCAAGAGGTACCATAATAATACCATATACGATACCATTTCCTGGCGTGCGATTGGACTTATACTTGGTATAGTATAAGTATCTTCGGTGACATTTTAATATGATGGTACTATGATGCATATAAAGTGGTACCTTAATACCACTTCCTGACGTTCGATTGGGCTCATATTTGACTATACTTGCGTATTTTTGATGACATTACAATATTATGGTACCATGAAGCGTATCAAGGGGTACCATAATGTAGTACCATATTACAATACCATTTCCTGGCGTTCGATTGGGCCCAAATTTGATATACTTGTGTTTCTTTATAAAGATTTGTTTAATTAATAATTTTAATTTATTTTACGAATTTTAATTTATTGTACTATGTCGTGACAGCAACTTTTATGCCGAACTAATATATTATTAATTGTACCTGTGTCACTTTTTAAAATCTACTTAGGTCTATATAAATAACATGGCAAACAGAAAAAATTTGTTATTATAGTATTTTTTTAGTCAATTAACATTTTTTGTACTGCATTTTAATAAATCATTTCCATTATTATTAAACGTATATTTCATTACTAACGTTTCAGCATTAATAAATATCACTATCAAACACCCTGTATATTATTAATTTTAAAGGTAATTAAAGTTATTTTCTAAGTTAACATAATAAAGTAGTGTATATTAAAAATGTATTTTGAAAATAGCCATACACATATTAAAATTTTATTTGAAATTGATATATTTTACTTTTGAACTGTTACCACTCAACCTCTGAATATATTTTTCTCTTTTTTATATGGGAATTTATTATAATGGGATGGCTTTGCAATTATCTAAAAGCTTGCATTATTAAAGCACTTTCCAGATGTTCTACATCACATTAGTTGCTACGATATATTTCATATTTCAAAAATCCCCAAAATCAGAAATTGAGAACGGACAAATCCGGGAATCAGGGAAGCCATCATATGGGTACATTGGTTCCAATTCATTAACTTGAGAAATAATAATTTAACAAAATTCTAATATTTTCGTTGTAAGTTAAGTTTCGTTTGATTGAAAGTATATTTCACGTAAATTAGCTAAACGAATATTTAAAAGTTCCGATACGATAGCTACCAAGATTTAGAAATAGCGGTAGATATTTAAGTTTCTCTATATACAAAGAATTAATTAGTGGCTCTCAAAATAAAACAAAAGACATATAGCAATATACTTTTAATAATTCTTTAGTATCTTTTATCATCAATCATCGCCTACTAATAAATAGGATCTTTTAATAATTGTTTTTTAAATATGGCATTAAACAGTGAAAATAAGTATAGAGTGTTATATATTTTGACAAGCTTATGGCAAGCCAGATGATATAATTTATAAATATACAGGGTGTTCCATTTAAAAGAAAAACATAACTTTAGTTCATATCTTTAAAAATATTATTTTCGTAGAATAACAGACTACGCCACTGTATTCTACGCAAAATGTTCTACAATAAACAGCTTTCACCGTCTCAATATCTTTAACAATAACAGAGATACAGGGGGTGTCCTAAATTGCAAAATTTTCAAAAAGACCCTGTAGCTAAAAAACGAAGAGGGCTATGAAAATTTTGTTTACGGCATCTTCCGTTTGACAAAAATGTGGCCCAGGTATGTGCACACCGCACCCTTCTATCTTCACGAATAACGAAGATACCGTATGATTTCAACTAAAATGGGACACCCTGTACAAAAAAAAATAATGTAGCTCTTAATTTCCCTCCAGCCAATGAAGAAACGGTTTTTACACAACAGTCACCGCATCACAGTGCATACAGGGTGATTCTCTGGCTTGGAATACATTTAGTAAATGAAGGATGATATTGTTATCTCTAAATCTCTTACCACTGGTAACAACACACAAAAATATGATCTGGCGAAATCCGGGTTAAAATATTGTAATCGTTAAATATATTTTTTCTTTTGCAGCTCTAAAGCGTATTGGTCTGGCGGGGGTGGCGCAAACAATAATTCTCAATACGGCAGCATTGGATTTCAAAATCCCAATGGTAAGTATATACAGGGTGGCCCATCGAAAACGTTCCGCAAGGCATAACTTCCAGGTTATTTTTTTTTTTCAAAAAATCCAAAAACACGTCAATTTTGTTTGTGAGGGGGACAACTTTTGCCCCAAAAATGATTGCAAAAACTCTTCAACCCTCTAAGCGGGGGTGTCATCCCCCAACTTTTTTCAAATGGGAAGGGCACTGCAATGAAAAGAGCTTTCTATTCTCTATATTTCCCCGCTTCGCTTTTGAAAATCGGTCGAGTCATTGAGAAAATATGAAGGATTGAAATTTGAAAAGTGTATTTAAACATTTATCAGAGTATACAGGGTTGTTCACCACATACGACACGGAGTATTGTAGCTAAACGATTAGATTTTTACAAATTTTAAGTTTTGGGTTGGTTGAAGGACTATTAGAGCTACAATTTAAAATTATTTTTACAAGATACAGAGTGTCCCAAATAAGTAAAAAATATTATAGTTGTATTTTTTTAAATGGAACACCCTGTATATTATTCTATTTTTGGATTCTACGATTGAAATAAAGGTAAATTTGATTAAGGTTTATCACACTTAAACCTTACCGTTTATGAAATATTTTCAATTTTATGAAATTGCAGTAAACATTTTAAGGCTTCATTTCTCCAAGAGTATCAAAGTTTTTAATACTAAATTTTTACTGAAGATTATTTATTGATCAGATATTGTGTTGCTATAATAAACATTTTACTACCTTCTACAGTGTGTCCAAAAATTTATATTAAATAATTACTATCTTTAAACGGCAATAACTTGTCTAATTTAAATGGAACACCCCATGTATTTTACGTAAATCAGATGCACAATGTAATTGTCTATGAAATTGTAATATACCATTTTTTACCCATCTCTTCAAGTTTTCGTATAAAATGCATTTTCTTATAATTTAGACTTCATTTATCACTATACCCATGGAATTGACATTTTAGCTTATTTTTAAAGATGTAACAAATTTTCAAAGGATACAGATACTAATATTGTCGCTATAGTTCGCTTATTTAATTAAAAAATAAAAAAACTGTTTAAATATTTTTTGTTAAAGAGGACCAATTAATATGATCCCAGTATTTAAACTACATTAATTGACTGTTTACGTTGATTAATAATAATTGCTCCAAATACAAAAAAACTGAATTTTGTGTGTGTTAGACAGTGTGGTAAAAAGTAACACTTTATATATTGTATTTCATTTTTTGACGAATGCTTATTTTTAAAAACAGAGACGTTCATTTTCATAACTTATTATTATATTGATTTCTGAGCCAAATGCATATTTATTTAGAACAGCTTATTAATTAAAACAATTTAAAAGTATGTAATTAACTAAAATGTTTGGTGTTTTTGGTCGAAAATAATGGTGGGATATTTAATTGGTATACTCTTTTACAAAGATTTAAATAGTTTTTTTTTTATATGCCAATGGGTTGCAATCATAGACTTAAAATAAAATATAGACTGAGCATCTCATTCATAAATAGCTGGAACATGCGGTCAGACACTGTCTTGTTATTGTTGTGTTATTGTTTTAGGTTATAACGAGTGCGACACGAGCGATAGATAGGTTGTCTCTGTCGTAACGGTCGTTCCCTGACGACTCTGCCGAGAAACACAACACTGTCTTTCGTTTCTCAAGTACACCTGAACTCTCCGTATCATAGCCGGGTAATTTTTTTATTTTAATGAAGCTATAATTAAATTAAAAATATATCGTATTTAAACTTTTTTATATTTTATTAAGATTTAGGACAGGCTTTTTAAATAAAAGTTTAGAAAAAACGTCTTAGAGTCCAAAAAGGATAAAATAATAAAATACACGTTATAGAAGAAATTTTATAATCGAAATTACGTAATTTTTGAAATTAATATAATAAATTATTAATTTTAGTCAAACATTTACAACCCCTAATATTAATCAAAACAGGATCTATTCCACAGATATAATAGAATCGGCGACAGGGAGAGAAAAAAAATATGATTGTTGTAATTTTTTTCTGGTTAAGTGATGTCTTATGTAAATTAGAGAAAACATAAATCTGTTCCATTAAAGCAAGGAAGGTGATAGGAAGTGGATAAAATGAAAACTACATTTATTTAACTCGGTACTGTCTTTATTATACCGGGTGCGTCCCAAAAGTGGCTCATCCCCATAATTTTTTTATATTTTCAAATAAAAAAACAAGATTTAGTATGTTAGTACATGACATAAATTAGGATTGATTGACGCATTTAATTGTTTTTGGTCACTTCCTGTTTCACCGGAAATGTCTATAACTTTTAATTTTTAAACGGCACCCTTGGTATATTTCTACTTTATTCGATAGAAAATGGCACTCTGAATAGAATGACACATCATATGTCAACTTTTGACATTCTCGCATATGGTTTAATTGTAATTGTAACACGCGGTTCATAACGACAATTTGACTCGAAATACCAAGTGTGTGGTATCAATATATTCATAAAAAAATGCTTTTTCCAAATATGCTAATGAGTCACTCTTGTTCCATTTGAAAAAGTTGACATATGTATGATTAAAAATACGATTTGTACATACGCTTTTAACCGGCCTAGACAAGACACGAAACCTATTATTAGACGATCAAAACTATTTTTCCAAGGCTCCTTGATTAAAACTTAGTGTTTTTAACAACACCATGGCACCCTGGATTGAAATTTAAAATACGATTTGTTTTTAAGCGACAATGTCAAAAAATTGACATATGATATGTCATTCTATTCAGAGTCATTTTGTATCGAATAAAGTAGCAATATACCGAGGATGCCTTTAAAAATCAAAAGATGTAATCATTTCGGTGAAACAGGAAGAGACCAAAAACAATTGAATACGTCAATAAATCTAATTTATGTCATATACCTACTAACATACAAATCTGTTTTTATCTAAAAAATAAAAAAGTTATAGGGGGTAGCCACTTTTGAGACGACCCGGTATATTAAAAAATATTGTTTCATAATGTAATATCATTTTAAAATTCTTGTATGTTATTTTAGATTCTGAAGATAATTTTAGAATAAACCGGAATATATTTTTAATAAAAACATTATTAATTATTAACAGGGTTATAATTATGATTTTGTTACAATGTAAGTAAGTAAATAATGTAATGTAAGAGAAAAAATTCAGATTTTACATTTTACTAAAATATTATCTAAATAAGCGCCTTTCTACAACAACGCCACTGACTCCCAATGGGTAAATTGAGAGTTGCCTACCGGTCAAAAGTCGTTTCAAGACTTAAATGGATTATTTAAGTCAAATTTCTTGCAAATTTGGCACTGGCGAACCATATTTTATAGTTCTTGAACAGAAAAAGTCAATAAAATAAACACTTAAGCACTACAAGCTAAGAAAATGCGTTAATACAGCCGGGGAGATAGCGGCAACAAAGCTTTACCGCACACGTGCGACACGTACTACAAGGTAATAAATGAATGAATAGGCTCCCTCGCCTCTAATCGGTGTTGTCATATTGTAAAGAACTTATCCTTTTTAAACAGTATCCGACTTATAATTTAGTAGTATAAGGACTATTTAATACATCTCTGGAATATTAAAACCTACTTTATTAAACTGTAGTATTAATATCTCAATATATGTGTATAACAAGAAAAAAAATATTGATAATATTAAAGACGTGACAACATAGGCTGGATGAGGAAGGCTCGGTCGACTGTACCCAGATGTAAACATGTGTACAAAAAATATTGTCTGTCCGCGTTGAGATGTAAATAGTGTAGTCTATATTTTATTTTAAGTCTATGGTTGCAATATTTTCCACCTGTATATTTTGTACATATATGGTGCTATAAAAAAATCTGAAATGTCAATATTCCATGGGTATATTGATAAATGAGGTCTAAATTATAAGGAAACGCATTTTCTACGAAAACTTGAAGGGATGGGTAAAAATGGTATAATACAATTTGATAGACAATTACATTGTGCATCTGATCCACGAAAATATATAGGGTATTCCATTTAAATTAAACAAGTTATAGCCGTTTAAAGCTAGTAATTATTTAATATAAATTTTTGGACACTCTGTATAAGGTAGTAAAATGTTTATTATTGCAACACAATATCTGATCAATAAATAATCTTCAGTAAATATTTAGTATTAAAAACTTTGATACCCTTGGAGAAATTAGGCCTTAAAATTTTTACTGCAATTTCATAAAATTGAAAATATTTCAGAAACGGTAAGGTTTAAGTGTGATAAACCTTAATCAAATTTACCTTCATTTCAATCGTAGAATCCAAAAATAGAATAATATACAGGGTGTTCCATTTAAAAAATACAACTATAATATTTTTTACTTATTTGGGACACTCTGTATCTTGTAAAAATAATTTTAAATTGTACCTCTAATAGTCCTTCAACGAACCCAAAACTTAAAATTTGTAAAAATCTAATCGTTTAGCTAGAATACACCGTGTCGTATGTGGTGAACAACCCTGTATAAGGATAAATTCCTTCGACCAATTGAGGGTTTTTTCTTATTATTTCTAGATGTTTACGCATTTTTTTTTCACTTGCCACAAGGCTGAACGATCAGGTGCGGTAGTTGCTAGATAGCTGTTCTGTGACTTGTGCGTTGAAGTTCTTCTCAATATCGTTAAACTGACCCATAATAGAATTTCAAAAAATACCAGCCCAGACGTTCAATTTCTGAGGGTTTTGTGTGTGCACCTCGTGAAAAACCCTGGGGTTGTCCTCAGCCCAGTACCGACAGTTGTGCCGATTAACGACACCGTTCAAAAAGAAAGTACACTCATCCGAAAAAACACACATTAAATAGGAAATTATTATCATTCGCCACTCGTTCATTCATAGTTTCACGATCGGCGACCAAACGATCGCGACGATCAAAATCGTCTTCGTTGAGTTCTTGTACCAACTGAATTTTGTACGGGCGGAACTTGTGTTTTTTTAATATCCTGTGGACACTTGTACTCTTAAGTAATGTGTTTCTTCCTTTTTTTTCAAATTACTTATACGCATATTCAAAATTTCAGCTAAATATGAAAAACAGTTTATAATAATATCTGTGATAATATAGTGGTCTAATGTATAGATAATGAATGGTACGGAACCCTTCGTGCGCGAGTCCGACTCGCACTTGACCAAGTTTCTTTAATTTTATTTATTTATAGAGAAGGTATTATTTTTCTAGAGCCAAGATCGCAATATACCGGGTGTTTCTCAAGAGTGGTTAGCCTCTATAACTTTTTTATTTTTTTCTGAAAAACGAGATTTGCTATGTAAGCATATGACATACATTAGGATTGATTGACGTATTCAATTCTTTTTGGTCACTTCCTGTTTCACTGGAAATGACTACAACTTTTGATTTTTAAATGACACCCTCGGTATTTTTTTACTTTATTCGATAGGAAATGACATGTAATATTTAAATATTAAAATCGCAATCGCAGTTTCAATTAGTGATGACGCTTTGGGACAGGATCTGTTATTTTCGAAACAGGTTTGTTTTGGAACTGGCTTGGAACAGGTTTATGTGCTATCCTATACCAGTTCCAGTTCCAACTGTTCCAGCTGTTTCAAAACACTGCAACTTAAATTAAATACTTAAAGAAATACATTCTTGGAATTGTTTAAATTATGTTATCTACTATATTTGTGATACTAGATTATTAATAGTGTATTTTTCAAAATTAGATAATTATATATTATATTGCATTTGGCAACATCGCCAGTACGTTTTTTTCATGGTAAGAAATTCTCTTCGCCTACTCCGTTTACATTAAAAAAACTCTGCATAAAAAATGTATATATACCGACAAAGGAACCTCTTGTTTTTATTATTTAGGAATGTAAGTTGTTTTTATTTTATATATGTGTTTTACTATTTTACATATATAAAATAGTAAATGTTAGATATTCTTTTCTTTCAGTATTTTTAAATATTGATTTCCTATTTAAAATTTATAATAAAAATTTAATTGAATTTTAAATAAATTTATCAAATATCGGCAACGCTGCGAAAACCGTCACCCTTGTTTTTTTTACGTCTAAGCACTATATTAGTGCACTCGCACTCAATCTCGATAATATAACGCCAAGCGACCGCGTCGTTAAAGCGATATACTACCTCGTTTCTCAACTGAAACTAGTTCTTTTTACTTAACTGTTCCAAGACCCAAACTGTTCCAAGTCCCAAACAGTTCCAAGTCACTAAATGTTCCAAGCGCTAAACTGTTCCAAGCCCTAAACTGTTTCAAGTCCCAACCTGAACAGTGGGACTTGGAACAGTTTGAGACTTGGAACAGTTTGCGACCTGGACCAGTTTAGGGCTTGGAACAGTTAGGAACTTGGAACTGTTTGAAATAGTTAAGTAAAAAGAACTGGTTTGAGTTGATAATCGAGGTCGTATATCGGTTTCGCTAGTCTAGCCAAGTCTAGCGGACGCGACCGTTCAGGTGTTATCTGTTATCGGGATACAGGGGCGTAAAAAACAAGTGTAGCTGTTACCGTTATTTAAAATATTTAATTAAAACTCAATTAAATTCTTATTATAAATTTTAAATAATAAATAATATTTTTTTTAAATATTTTATTTTTTTAATGTAAATAGAAACAGAATAGGTAAGGAACATTTTTTATTATAAAAAAAATGCTGGCGATGTTGCCAAATGCAATATAATTATCGCATTATAGTTTTTTTTTGAAAAATACAGTGTAAGAACAGTCGGTTATTGTTTTGTATTATAAATATAGTAGATATTAAAAAAAATAAACTCTTCCAAGAATTTACTTTTTAAGTATATCACAAAATTATAAATCTATATTTATTCATTAGTGCTTATACAGGGTGGGTCTTAAATAAGTGCACATATTTTTAGGGGTTGTATATTTCGATTCTCATGAGTTTTTTTCGGGAAAACATGTTTTTGAAAAGTTTATATTTTTCGAAAATTTGATAGTTTTTTTTTTAATTTTTAGTTAAAAAACATTATATCTTGGTAATATAGCAACATAGATAGTAGATTAAATTTAGAGAAAACAGAAAAATCCCTAGTAGTTCTCATTATTTAAGCAAAAAATATTCTTTTATATAAATTTAAAAAGAAAAATAGCAACCGAATCAGAATGACGCAAGTACGGTATTAATTTTCGTTTTGGAACAGTTTGGAACTGGAACAGGTTTCTTGGAACAGGTATCTTTTGCAACTGGAACAGCTTGAACCTGTTATTAAAAAATCGCTGTTCCGGCCATCACTAGTTTCAATTGCGATTGGAGAATCGCAGTTTTGCTCATCTCTACATAACAATAATGGTTGTGGTCTCGGCGCACTCAGTGATGAGGTGTTCTGGTGTTTCCCAATTTTCCCCACAGAATGTGCATTCGCCGTTGTTTCTTAGCTTCAATCTACTGAGGTGTTCATTGAAGCAACAGTGTCCTGTTAAAAAAAAAACCGTGACAATCCGAAGATTGTTCGTAAATCAAGGAAAATCATAGTTGTAGTAATTTCCGGTGAACCAGGAAGTGACCAAAAACAATTGAATGCGACAATCAACGGTAAATTTCTTTCGATCAAATAGGCAGCATTTTTATTCTAAATCTGATATACCACTAACCATGAAAATGATCATATATGTTTTGTATGTAGGAGTATACCGGGTGTTGCATCGTCGAGCGGGACATAGGAAATCCCATGTAAATTTTAATGGGGTCAATTATTAGCTTCCCTAATTATTTTAGAGAATAATTCTATTTAGGTTTATTGAAGAGCACTAAAACCCACATTCCAAAGAATAACTTTAGAGATATTTTTGATTAGCCCGTTTACGAGTTATCACCGATTTCTTTTTAAATATTTCTCCTTTCTTATGTCCCTGTATTTACATATGAGCACCAGTCAAGGTAAAAGATAACTGTCAAATGATGTTGTCATTTCAGAAATTTATCTATTTAGTGCTTTATTATTATTATTATTAAAAACTCATGCCTACATCGAAAATATTAGCCATGAATTACACTACCGAAGAAAAAGTATTGATGATTAAATAGTATTATCAAGGAAATAGTTATCAAAAGGTGTCAGACATGTTTGCTGCTCTGTATCCGAATAGACCGATACCTGGAAAATCTACAATCGCAAAGAATATGCAGAGATTCGAGACCAAAGGTACCCTAGTAAATAACTGCAGATGTGAAGCAAGGCAGGAACAAAGAGAAGATGCAAGAAATGATACCGACTTGGAAGTTTTATTGTGCGTGGAAGAGAACGATGGAAAGATCAGCACAAGGAAACTTGAGGATGAACTAGGAATAGATCACACTACAGCGTTTCGAATTTTGAAACGACATAAATACAATTCCTTCAAGTATGAAAAGCACCAAGAACTACGAGATGGGAACGAAATACGGCGGCAGACGTTTTGTTTTGATATGATGGAAAGAGCAAACACGAATAGGGAATTTTTAAAAAACATATGTTTCACTGACGCATGCACGTTTATCTTAAATAATGAACCCAATGTTCAAAATTATCGATATTGGAACAAAGAAAACCAACACAGGTTTGTCGAAACAAGGACGCAATATCCACAGAAAGTAAATGTTTGGGCAGGGATATTCGGAGACAATATTATCGGGCCATTATTTCTTACGCGAAATTTCTATTTGTGATTTTTTAATATTAGTTCTAACAATTTAATAGTACCTAAATTAGTAAGTTATTGAATATTGTAATAATACTATAATTAACCTTGTAATTGATTACTTTATTTTACTTTAATTTATATTAATTTGTATTTATAAATACATCTTTAAGATTTCCGATGTAGGAATGAGTTTTCAATAATAATAAAGCACTAAATAGGTAAATTTCTGAAATGACAACTTCATTTGACAGTTATCTTTTACCTTGACTGGTGCTCATAAGTAAATACAGGGCCATAAAAAAGGAGAAATATTTAAAAAGAAATCGGCGATAACTCGTAGACGAGCTAATCAAAAATATCTAAAGTTATTCTTTTGAATGTGGGTTTTAGTGCTCTTCAATAAACCTAAATAGAATTATTCTCTAAAATAATTAGGCAAGCCAATAATTGACCCCATTAAAATTTACATTGTATTTCCTATGTCCCGTCCGACGATTCAACACCTGGTATGCATAAAATCAATATAGATGTATTATTAATTGAATTATGATCATTAATGAGACCAAAATATGTTTGATTTTATTTGATTCATTAGCATGATTTTTTATTTTACAACGTTTTTTTCTCATGGCAGAGTGTTAGTATTTTATTAGCTTTACCCAATTAAGTTGAAGTGATAAATAAGGACGATTTTGATTCTTTTTTTTCAAAAATTTGATTATTGTTCTTCATTTCCAAACGAAGATCGATATAAAATCGATAATTTTTTAATTTTTATATTCTTTTTACTATCATTACTTTTTATTATAGGTTCTGGTGGTAGATTGACATACCAGCATCATAACAATTCTGGTCATTCAACCAGGGTGCAAGGAAAAATTCCAGTTTACTCATTCGGGAACGAACATTGCAAATCCACAATTAATGTTGGTACCACAGTCGACCATTTTTCTGGAAGAGGACGAACAATGACATCAGTAAATGGAGTTGATATCGATATTAATTTTCAACATAAGTAGTTCGATTTCAGGAAAGAAGATTTCAAAATAAGTCGTTTATATCTAACGTAACTTTTGCATAGTACCGGGTGGTGCATCGTCGTTGGAAACATAGGAAATCCCATTCAAATTTTCTCCATGATTTTATAGCGAAGTCGTAAATCAATGACTAAAGAATATAAGGACATTGATTGTTACCTATTCAGTTTTAATTTAAAAATTGATTCTGTTTTTTTCAAATTACTCAAAATTGGCTTGTCCAAAATTGTTCAGATTCATCAGAAAAAAAAACTATTTACGACTTCACTATAAAATCAATAGCGGAGTCAATATCTGGACAGTTCAAAATTTGCATGGGATTTCCTATGTTTCCAACGACGATGCACGATGCACCACCCGGTATATGTATAAATATGAAAATATATATTCTTATTTCTTTTGTATACGCTAGTCAAGACAATCATTGCGATTATTTTTTTAATATTTTTTTAAATACAAATATCAAAATCAGTTGGTATGGCTAGAATTAGAGCTGGATTATTAACTACTAATTTTATGATTAAATCGTTTTTAACTACTATTAGAAGAGTAATACAATATAATAAGTTTTTTTTTGTATGAGAGTTTCACCTACGGTGGTTGCACTTTATTTTTTTTGAGCAATATTGTATGTTAAAAATATTTTATATAAATACATTATATTTATAATATATTCAAATATATTATTATTTTAAAATTGTGCTTTATTTTTTTTTTAATCAATCTGATATTTTGTTGGTGTGAAGTTTATTAATATTAAATTTACGAAAAGTATTAGTGTAATTTGAAACACACAGAATTACATTTTATTATAAATATAAAGAAGTGTTCCCGTTTTATTAAAAAATTAGAACAACATTATTATTTACTGAAGGCCCAAGGGGCCCAAAAAATATTTGAACACGGGCCCGCGACTTCCCTGCTACGTCACTGATATGACGAGGTGGCTTTGGTGATTATTATGAACTATCTACTAACAATAAACTGCCCAGCATGCTCTACAGACCTAAACCCTATAGGACACGTTTGGGACATAGTAGAAGGAAAAGAGTAGTTGCACTCTCCCAAATATTTTCTGCCAGTTTTTACAATCTGTCAAATATCGGCAGATTGCAGAGCGTTTCAGTTGAGTTCCGTCCGTCGACCTGCGAGGTTCGAACGTTGCGTCCCAGCACAGAGACGGATTGACAAAAAATGAGTGCCTTATTGTGTGCTGCTATTGGTTGTAGTAATAATTCAAAAAATTGTGCTTTGAGTTTTTTTGAGAGTCATTTGTGTTCAGGTTAATTTTCTCATTGGCTACTTAATAATTTGATATTATTTTCATTTAAACCTCAATTTTTTTATCAAATTTACTTTTGACAACCATACCTTGCTTGCCGTTTAACGAACTGCACCATCATTGAACAAAAATTTGCTAGTACCGAGAGTACCAAAAAAAATGGAAATTCCAGTTCCTTAGAGGCATGGTACCGAAATTACCGGTTCCGAAAAACAACTCCGGTTCCGCAAACGCTATAACGTACCATAACCGTGAATCGCCCTATACAGGATGAGTTTAAAATAAGTGCAAATATTTTTAGGGGTAGTATATTTTAGCCCCAGAAATATGAGGATTTTTGTGCGCATTTTTTTTGAAAAAAAATCTGGAATTTTTTTTAGTTTTTAGTTAAAAAACATAATTTCTTGATAATGTGGTAACTAGTGTTCAGAACCGGAAATTCCCGGTTCTTTTGAGATATCAAAGAACCGGGACTCGAAATTACTAATTCCCGGTTCTTTCGGCACCTTCGGGACTCGGTAATAATAACTAAAAAATTATTCTTTTATTACGTGAGAAAGTAGTGATGCTATTTCTCATTGTTCTTTTCTTTGAAATTTCTGTAATGTTTATTAGCAATTATTGAAGTTTAAATATGTTATTTTATTATTTAGTACAATGTATTAGTTATCCAATGAAAATCACCTAACCACCTTGTTTTAAATTAAAAAAAATGTAGAAAATCTTTGAAATAGATAATAATATAAAAATATGTCATTATATATTTTTTCCGCATTTCTTATCATCGGAAGATTTTCAGATTCAGAAGAATGTTACTTACACGAAATGTGAAAATATTCTGTTTTCAAGCAAATTTTTACTCGATGATCTCTCGATGATTATTTTATTTTATTGCGAACTCATATTTTCCTAAATACATCTCTGTGAAACTATGCTGAGTGCCACGACTATACTTTGCCTAGTTAGAGACCACGACTATACAGCTACGTCAGTGGTCACGGGACGCGAGAACAAGGTCATATAAAGTGGCAGAAAAAGAACAAAGGATTTGACAAGGAGTAAAGCTACTAGTTTCTTTATACTATGTTTGGGGTATGCTAGGTTGGAAAGTCAGAGGTCGCGAAGTGGCACGTCATTAAATGAACTTCCCATAGAAAAATAGGACGTCTACAGGCAGTTCCAGCAGCTAATTTTTTTAGCAGTTTTTAAATTAGTATGGAGTATCCAATGCAGCGTAATATGATATTACTACTATTAGCTCAGGCACAAATTAACTATAACAGATGCGAAAGTACACCGAATTCCGCGTTTCGGTTTCTGTGACCTTCAGAAAGAGTTCATAGACAATCCGCATCAATGTATAGTTTGCGTTATTATTTTTTGGGTTAAAATCATCTGCACCAATATGTTATCGAGGCATATAATCTCACAGTAATTTAATAGATTGCTCGTCATAATATATCAGTTCGTAGGAAATTAGGGAAAAAAAGATATTTATAGTATAAAAACATTAATTAAGGCCCTAAGTTGTAAAAATTATTAGCCGGTTTGAGATTTACAAAGGGCTAATGCATTTATGGTGTATGGCAGACAAACTTACTTAAATTGTCGTGTTTGTACCTACATACACCGAATAATAATATAACAAGAAGGGTCAGCCGGCGTTCTAGCTTTCATGTGGCGTTTACAAAGACGAGCCGCGGCGGTAGCAAAAAATTTTATGGTCGTATGCAGCCGCTGGGTCGAGCGTTCGAATACGGGGTTTCTTCACAAATAAATGCGGCGCGGCGGATGGAATTAAATGTAAACAGTATAAAGTCTGGTCGGTATGTATTTGAAATAGGATAACGTATAATAAACAAACATATTATGTTACATAAATATATTAATTGTGTATATTTATTTACACAGAACAGAAACTAAAATAATAACAAACTTAATGACCTAAAAAAGCACAATCCGAGGCAAAATAATCTAAAAATTTTAACTTTTGAACATAAACGTTTTTTATTAAAATAAATAGGCAAATAAAAACATATTTTTAAAAAAGAACATCACGTCAAGATGGATGATCTCAATTTAGTAAGTTTTTACCGATAGAGCTAGGTAACAAGTTTAATAAATATACTCCGTACAAAAAAACACACCGATTTCAAATAAGAGCTTCGGCTAAAAAACACAGCCACGTGGAAATAACGTAAAATAGGGCGGGATTTAGAGTGACTCTTCTTGCTATATTATTATTGGTGCTACATACTATGTAGTCTAATAAAAATAAAAAACTACCTAAAGAAAAAGCCACAAAAAACTGAAAGACAAAAACGAGTCAATCCACAAAAGGCGATTTGTCATTTGTCAACCACGCCAAAGTTGACAGAATTAAAAACCACACTATCATTTTAGAGTGAGTAGGGGGAGTGCAGACGCCGATGATTAGACCAGATGTTTAAAAACCTACTTCCTTACTTACACTGCCCTAAACTTACATTGTTTAGGTACGTTCTTAATGTAAAAAAAACAGAGCGTACGTGTCGATTCTAACTTCGTCAAGCGATGAGTCACGTATAAAGATTCGTGGCTTTATCATAATTTATGAACAGATCTTAAAAATAAGAGGAACCTAGTTTTATTTAAAATAATGTTGCATGCAATGCAGGCAAGCCGACAAGAATAAAGACACACCTGTTTTTGGGGTTTAAAATACAAACTCCAGCAAAAGAGCATTTCATTTTTCTATTTTTGTTTATTTAAATCGAATGTACTTAGATATTTTATCAGTTTGAAAATACTAAATTACAATAATTTCTATTACAAAAGGGCGAATAATACCTAATACCTACTTATTAATCATTTTTCCGTACCTTAACATCCTCTGGGAACCTAAAAAGTGATTTTCCTCCTCCGGTTTTTGTAGAACAGTATAAATAAACACATTTGTATCCCATTTTAAATAAGATATACAAATTACCAAAACTTTGAAATAACAGTTCGAAAGTTCAACAAAAATCTTACACGCGTTTTTAAAAACAAACATATAACCACGCACTATGTCACACCAGCGAGCTTCAGCAAACGAATACGACACAGCAAGGGCTTCCAGACTAAACGATTGGTGTATTCACACCACTCAATAGGCGTGTCGGGTTTGCCGAGCGGTTTCCAATGCAGTCGCTTTCTTTCACATCTGTAATAGGTAATTTGTGGCTCAGGGCCGATACCTCGTTTTACATGGGTGACCTTTAACAAATTAGAGACAAGCTGCAATTTTGCATGGAGCTTCATTTTGTAGATCTTTAAACATCCTGAAACCCCAGCGATGAACCGTTGAGCCTGTCATCCCAAAACCACCCCTATAAGGGGTAAAAATGGCCTTTTTTTTCTTTTTCTTCAATAACTCTAAAACTACGAATTTTAGGAAAAAAAGTCACGAATAAAAAATTGAAGAGAAGAAAATTTCCTACTACATAGGTAAAGACCCAAATTTTTTAGAATTTCAGTGGCGCAGGTGCGAATTCTTTAATTTAGGAGGATTTTTTTAATAACCCACCATTCTGTGTTTAACTTCAAATGAAAGTATTTTTGCGATAAATCTCGAGACCAAAAAATTTATTAGGATACAAGTTCCTATAAAAACGATCTTTTTAATAAAGGTAAGTTACCAGTGGCGGAGATAATTTTTTTAAATGTGCGTTTTTTACATTTTATAAACATTGAATAAGAAAAATTGCAGTTTTACAAATAATTTCCCATGAAATAGATATATTGAAAAATTTACACGTTTAATAACAACTTCAGAAAAACCGTAACTCAAAAATTGGATAACTTGTCTTAAGGATAGTCCTCATTCACTTCCACATTTGTTGGGTTCATACATGTAATGCCATTGCATTGACCACATGCCATAGTGCAGGTGAGTGCCATTCGCTTGCATGTACATGCTTTTTTACAGCCTCCTGAAGAGCAATTGCAAATTTTTTCTCTAAAACCTGTGTAGGAGCAATGGGCTGGTCTGAATGTATTGGATTAATCTCCCGATTTTTCAGATTCCAACCCCAATCTTGCGGTGGTAAATTGTTATTTAACCAAGCCTGTACCCTGCGATATTTTCAGATCTGTTTTCTTAATACTATAATTCTATAACATATCACTATGGCAAAAATGTCACTGTTGTTTTTGATGGCTATGAAGAGATACAGACTAAAATTGTGGAGCAGAATCGCAGATCTGCAGGTAAAAAAATGGTACCAATTGTATCTCCCTCGAATTTATCTGCAGTGAAAGTACAAAAGGCAGATTTTTTATCAAACAACACCAACAAAAGTAACTTCATTGGTGCGCTCGGAAAAGTATTGTTGCAAAATGGAATCAGTGTTAAATTCGCTGATGGTGACGCCGATACTCCTATTGTAACTACAGCGGTCGTAATAACTGACAATTTACCAGAACTGACCGTAGCAGTAGTTAGCGAAGATACGGACATTATAGTGTTACTGATTCATTATTGCCACAAGAGACTGTTCATGATTCGTCCGGGAAAGCTGTCAAAACCATATTAAATAATCGACATATCGGCTTTACAACAAAAATTGGGGGATCTGAAGAATGTGATTCTTAGTGTCCACGTCCACGACATATCTGGTTGTGACACAACGTCTGCTGTGTTCAATAAAGAGAAGATTAATTTAGTGAACACCATCCAGAAGAAAAAGTTATGTGAGCTATTAAAAGAATTTTATAATCCCGATGCTGCAAAGGAGAAGTTAGAAGAAGTTACATCTCAGTTTTTTATAGCAGCATAATATATTAAAAACTCGACAAAAAAAGTAGATTTGAGTAGTGCCAGATACATGCTTTATCAACAGTACGTAGCTAAACGAAGTCTTAATACCAACTTCAACTTCGCATCATTACCACCTACCTCCTACATTACCATTACCACCTGTTATTAAACGTGTAAATTTTTCAATATACCTATTTCATGGGAAATTATTTGTAAACCTGCAATTTTTCTTATTCAATGTTTTTAAAATGTAAAAAACGCACATTTAAAAAAAATTATCTTCGCCACTGGTAACTTACCTTTATTAAAAAGATCGTTTTTATAGGAACTTGTATCCTAATAAATTTTTTGGTCTCGAGATTTATCTCAAAAATGCTTTCATTTGTAGTTAAACACATAATGGTGGGTTATTAAAACAATCCTCCTAAATTAAGGAATTCGCACCTGCGCCACTGAATTCTAAAAATTTAGGTTCTTTATCTATGTGGTAGGAAATTTTCTTCTCTTCAATTTTTTACTCGTTTTTTTCCTAAAATTAGTAGTTTTAGAGTTATTGAAGAAAAAGTAAAAAAAAGGGCCATTTTTACGCCTTATAGGGGTGGTTTTGGGGTGACAGGCTCAACGCTTCATTGCTGGGGTTTCAGGATGTTTAAAGATCTACAAAATGAAGCTCCATGCCAAATTTCAGCTTGTCTCTAATTTGTTGAACCTCGGCCTGTATAGGCCCTGGGCTATATAGTCACCAAAGCCATCTCGTTATATCATAAAATAATATCAAAACGAAATGATAATTGAAAAATTTGCAAATTTTAGGTGACAAGTTCACTCCGCCCTTAAAAATTAACTAAGACACGTGGGAACATGAGACAAAAAAAACAAATTAATCAGATCAAATTATAATACAGGGTAAAGTTAAAGTAAAAAACAACCACCCTCTCGATAAACCCTGTATAATAAATCCCAATACTAAAGTTTATATAAAACTGAGTTTACGAATTAAAGTTAATATACAGGATGGCGAGGTGCGCCATCCTGTGGATTACACAAAAATAGAAAGATGTAGAAACAAAATATTTTATGGGTATATGTGGGAAGGCAATGTGCATAATTTAAAATTATTTTGAAATGTACAGGGCGTGTCAGAACTAAGATCCATACCAAAGTTATATTTTTTCTTATGGAACACCCGGTATTTTATTTTATTTTTGGATTCTTTGACATAATAATTATAAAGGTTTAATATATTTAAAAGCTTTGGTTTTTGAGATATTTAAAGATATTTAAATATATGCATGCTATAATAAAAAAGTTTGTCAACACCCTGTACATACTTTTCAGAATTAATTCTTGTGCTGACTTTGAAGCCAGAGAAATAAGCTTTACGAAAAAAAAATATTGCTTCCTTAAATGTATACAGGGGTATCAAAAATTGCTGGTCTATTTTAAATATTTATTTTACATAAAAACTTCATTATTTCAAATACAACACTATGTATTTTTTTGAATAAGTCGAAGTAGATTCAAATGCTCTTTCAAACTATATTAAGGTTTCCTATATCTATCTGTCTCAGATTTTAAATAAAAAACGATTTTTCCATAAAATTGTAATCAAGATGGCTGGTGTTGCCATGGCAATTGTCTAGTGACACTTAGTAGCTCTTTTCAAAATCGACATTAGTTTATAGACTTTATTTAAATTTATAACAGGTTATTTTTATTTAATTTACCTACAATAACGTTAATAAGTAAGTAGTTTATTATTTTATCAAATTATTAAATAAAAGTAAACTGATATAAATTTAAATATAGCCCATAAACTAATGTCGATTTTGAAAATACCTACTAACTGCCACTAGCAAATTGCCATGGCGACACCAGCCACCTTTATTACCATTTTATTGAAGAAATCGCATTTTATTCAAAATCTGAGCCAGATAGGTATAGGAAACCCTAATATAGTTTGAAAGAGCATTTAAATCTGCTTCGACATATTTAAAAAAATACATAGTGTTGCATTTGAAATAACGAAGTTTTTAGGTAAAATAAATATTTAAAATAGACCAGCAAGTTTTGATACCCCTGTATACATTTAAAGAAGCAATCAAATTTTTTAATAATTTTATTTCTCTGGCTTCAAAGTCAGCACAAGAATTAATTCTTTCAATATCTTTAAATATCTCAAAAACCAAAGCATTTAAACATACTAAACCCTTATAATAAATGCCTTATTTTATGCCCAAGAATCCAAAAATGAAATAAAATACCGGGTGTGTGTGTTCCATTAGAAAAAATATAACTTTGGTATGGATCTTACTTCTGGCACACCCTGTACATTTGAAAATAATTTTAAATTATGCACATTGCCTCTCTACATATACTCACAAAAAAATTGTTTCTACATCTTTCTGTTTTCGTATAATCAACCAAGGCGAATGAGGTGCGCCACTCTGTATATACAGTGAGTTAAAATCATGAAAGTTGGGCTAAAAATAACAATTTCTGTTCCATTTTTTTTGCATCTCAGTGTAGTACTTATCTGTATTAATATTTCAAAATACACGCTGATAAAAATAAGAAGCAAGGAAATTACAAAAACGGTACTTTACGTTTTAGATAACGCAGTGTCTGTCCTATATGTCATCAGATATAAATACATACTCTAGGACTATGACGTATTTTACCTGTGTATCGACCTTAAATCTAACAATCAGGAAATTAAAATAATCAGCAACCTTTCCCAACGGCTCTACTATTATTCAAAACCAGTCCCGGTGTAAAAATAGGGAAGAAAGGTACACTGGCGACCCTTATTTACTCCGGTGGTCCCTACGACACTGTACATTGGAAGTAGAAGTACCTGAAATAAAAATGTATTTAGCGTTTGAGGCGTTAGTGATTTAGTGTGCAATATGTGCTGGAATGATAAAGAACAAGTTAAGATGTGTTTTTTGAGGTGAATGTTTGATCGTTTTTGTTGATGTATAAATATTGTTTAAGCAAACAGGTATGCACAAATATTAAATTCAGTAAATATATAGATAGGTAGATATTTGCTTTTTATTCGTCAAAGATATTTCAATATACACAGTGTGTCTAAAATTAAAATAATATTAATATAAAGAAGAAGAAATGAGAGTAGAAGAAATAAGGCTTACACAAAAGTTAAATATGACACTAGGAGATATATTAATTTAAAGCTTAAATATATACCGGGTGTTTCTCAAAAGCGGCTTACGACTATAACGTTTTTATTTTGTCAGATAATAAAACGAAATTTAGTATGTTTCAAATACTTTCGGTCGCTTCCTGTTTCACCGGAAATGACTACAACTTTTGATTTTTAAATGGTACCTTCAGTATCTTTTTACTTTAGTTGATAGAAAATAACATTATGAATAGAATGTCATATCGTATGTCAATTTTTGACATTTTGAAGTAATAAAATGGCTGTTTAAATTTCAATCTAAAGTGCTATAGCTGTGTTTTAATCAAGGAGCTCTTAAACATTAGATTTGATCGTCTAATGTTTTTTTTTTGTCTCTTCCTGGCCGTTTAAAACATGCCTAAATTGTATTTTTAATTATAATTCAATTTTTTCAAATGGGACGAGGGTGGCTCATTAGCATACCAGGTGCGTCTCGAAAGTGGCTCACCCCTATAACTTTTTTATTTTTTTAGATAAAAAAACGAGATTTGGTATGTTAATATATGACAAAAATTAGGATTGATTGACGTATTCAATTGTTTTTGGTCACTTCCTGTTTCACCGGAAATGACTACAACTTTTGATTTTTAAATGACACAATCGGTATTTTTTTACTTTATTCGATAGAAAATTACATTCTCAATAGAATGACATATCATATGTCAACTTTTGACATTCTCACTTAATAAAAAATTGTATTTTAAATTTCAATCTAGATTGCCATGGCTATGTTAAAAACACTAATTCTTAATCAAGGAGCCTTGGAAAAATAGATTTGACTGTCTAATGTTTTTAGTGTCTTGTCCTGGCCGGTTACAAAGTGGCAAAATCGTATTTTTAATGATATCTCAATTTTTACAAATGGAAGAGGCAAGAAAAGCATTTTTTTACGGATAATTTGATACCGCACACTTGGTATTTCGAGTCAAATTTTCGTTACGAACCTCAAGTTATAAATTCAAAAAAACCATATGCGAAAAAAAAACGAGATTTGGTATGTTAATATATGACAAAAATTAGGATTGATTGACGTATTCAATTGTTTTTGGTCACTTCCTGTTTTACCGGAAATGACTACAACTTTTGATTTTTAAATAGCCCACTCGGTATTTTTTTACTTTATTCGATAGAAAATTACATTCTCGATAGAATGACATATCATATGTCAACTTTTGACAATCTCACTTAATAAAAAATTGTATTTTAAATTTCAATCTAGATTGCCATGGCTATGTTAAAAACACTAATTCTTAATTAAGGAGCCTTGGAAAAATAGATTTGACTGTCTAATGTTTTTAGTGTCTTGTCCTGGCCGGTTACAAAGTGACCAAATCGTATTTTTAATGATATCTCAATTTTTTCAAATGGAAGAGGCAAGAAAAGAATTTTTTTACGAATAATTTGATACCCACACACTTGGTATTTCGAGTCAAATTTTCGTTACGAACCTCAAGTTATAATTTCAAATAAACTATATGCGAAAATGTCAAAAGTTGACATATGATATGTCATTCTATTCAAAGTGTTATTTTCTATCGAATAAAGTAAAAAAATACCAAGGGTGCCATTTAAAAATCAAAAGTTTTAGTCATTTCCAGTGAAACAGGAAGTGACCGAAAACAATTGAATACCTCACTCAATCCTAATTTATGTTATATACATACCATATCTCGTTTTTTTTTAATTGAAAAAATAAAAAAGTTATAGGGGTGAGCGAGCCACTTTTGAGACGCACCCGGTATATTTAGATTACCTACCACATACTTGGTATTTTGAGTGAAATTGCCCTTACATTTATGGTCATGGTACCCTAGAGTAAAATTTCAAGTGTTGTTTTTTTTAATTGAAAATGTAAAAGTTGACATATGATATTATGTCATTCTATGCAGAATATCATTTTCAATAATATAAAGTAAAAAATGGTGAGAGTATTATATTAGTATTATTAAAAATAGTGTTTGTGTTTTTTGATGCGATATTAAACATCTAGACCCCCAGGAAAAGGTGAAAATTGATGATTTATCGTTTCATATTGTATGTCGTTTTCGGAAACGTACCTATTTCCTGTCGCGTACAGTATTTTCTTGATTTTTTTGGTTTGAAATTCGAATTTTCGAATCGCAGGTTTATTCAGATTGATGTTCAAATCGGTGTCATGACTTGGACATTCGTAAAAATTATTCCATATGTGACAAACAGCGATTTTTAAGGGTTTTTTTTTTCAAAGAAATAAGTAACCATAGAGGGGAAATTCGAAATTATTTGTTAATACGACCAACATGTTTTTATTTATACAGGGTGAGTCTTAAATAATATGTGCACAATTTTTGGGAGGAATACATAATTTTTTACACCCTGTATAAAAATAAATTCTGGCAGTAAGCGGCATTAAAAAATAAAGAAGAATACGAACAAAGTAATGACGTCTAGGGTTGACCTCGCTGAAATTATCATCGGTTGTCATTCCTCAGCCGTCTTTGACACCGTTTTTTTTTCATATGTTATTTCAATCTATAGAAAAACATTTAATTTAATTAAAATTATACTAGGCATTTCTATCAAAGATACAAAATAATAATCAATTACTAATCAATTTCTTTTTGATTTTAGTTAGTTTAGAGTTAAACAGTTATGGCGAGCGAAGACCTAGCAATAATCAAGGAAAACCTCCTGTGTCCTGTATGTACTTGTTACATGTCCGTACCGATTAGACAATGCAAAACCGGCCACAGTCTTTGTGATCAGTGTTTCACGAAAGTGAAGCATTGTCCGAAATGTAGGGGACCCAAATCAACTGCTAGGTGTTTTACTTTGGAAGCTATTGCTTCTAAAATAATACTAACTTGTAGGTAAGAGACAATATTAATATTATTTGTTAGACAGAAGTTTTGTCTTTGTTGATCGTTTTTAATAGAGATATACAGGGTGGTCCGAACTGTATTCCGGAAACTTCAGCAGCATATTCTGCACATAAAAATAAGTAAAAAAGTTTGTATAAATGTATGTCCGAAAATGCTTAGTTTCGGAGATAGAGGGTGTAGAAGTTTCATTTTTATTTCGATTTTTTCCTAATATCTTTTGAAATAATGTCAATATTTGGATCAAAATTGGTGTCTAGGAGTTTTTTGACATAAGAAATTTGATTTTGATGTCAATATGACTCCTACTTATAATAGAGGGCGCCACCTACATATTTTTTAACTGGTTTGAAGAGTAATAACTTTTTGTCCGTACCTGTATAAAAGTACTGAGTAAAAAAATATACATTTACGACGTTTTTATGTAAAACAAGTCTCTTGTTAAAAATCGCTACGAGTAATGGTTCTCGAGATATTTTGTATCGAAATTATCAATACCTGTCATCATTGACATAAATTAAACAAGTTGACTAAATAGTTATTAGACTGAAATCATAAATTTAAAATGGTTTGTGCCACAAGTTCAACAGAAACTGTTTTATCATCATTTTTTCGAAGAAAAATTTATAATTAATTAAAAAAAAACAAAAAGTTCCAAAATTTATTATTTCAGTCAAATAATTTATCTACCCAACACTTTCATTTTTTGTCAATAATGACATATATTGACTATTTCCATTCTAAATATCTTGAGAACGGTTGCTCGCAGCGATTTTTACCAAGAGACATTTTTTACGTAGAAAATCACGGAAATGTATATTTTTTCACTCAGTAGTCTTATACAGGTACGGACGAAAAGTTCTCTCAAAACAGTTAGAACACATGTAGGTGGCGCCCCCTACAAATAGGAGTCATATTAATATCAAAATCAAATTTCTCAAACTCCTAGTCACCAATTTTCATCCAAATATTTACGTTACTTTATAAAAATTTACTGTTAAAAATTATTTGGAGAAAATTGAAATAAAAATAAAACTTCTACACCCTGTATCTCCGAAACTAAGCATTTTAGCACATACATTTATACGATTTTTTTTACTTATTTTTATCTGCAGAATATGCTGCCGAAGTTTCCGGAATACAATTCGGACCACCCCTGTAGACTATACCAAAACATATGTCAGAGAATTGATGCAATAATTGATCCCGATTTCTTGATTTAATTCAGGACAATCTTCGAATTGTCTGTTTATTTTTACCAAGACACTGTCTCCTCGATGAACAATTCAGTAGATTGAAGCTAAGAAATACATGTGAATGCAGATTCTGCGAGGAAAATGGGAAAATACCACATCACTGAGTGCGCCGAGACGGCAACCATTCGTACCATAAACTTTGGTACGACTGATATTGGAGATGGAGAACTAGTCTCTGTGAAACCGTCTCAGATACTGGCTTTGTCAAAGCCCTGATACTGCATGATGAGTTATTACTCGCTATAACTCAAGAAAGGAGGGCACAAATAGATCTGTAAGGCGTGTAAGGTCGCGGTGATTAACCTCCCTCCCTAATATTCTACATTTATACGATTGTCTTATATCTATAGTTTTATGCAACTACTATAAAATCTTACTTTGAATGTAGTAAACAATGATTCAGTATTAAAACTAAAAAAGTTTAGGACTTCCATTGTCTTTATTTATTTTGCTTACACAACGTTTCGGGCAGAAGTATCATTGATCGTTGTCAAGTGTGAACTAAAAACTAAACTAAATCCTAAAACTACTGAGCTTATACATATACTAGAGCCGAGCATTCACCCGTGAATTTGTTGGGTGCAGTCAAGCATGAAGTTTTCCACTAAGAACATGTGCACTAAAGGGTTTCAAAAGTGGTTGCTGTATTGTTGAAATTTCCATACTAGGATTGCTAAAGATTTTATTATTGTTAGAAATGAATACGACCTCTTTAAATTTGCGCTTTTTCCAATGGGGTCTTTGTGGACCGGGGTTCTTTGAGAAGAAAATGTTAACCACTCAAAAATCTCATTGTGTCCGATTGGAGAAAATTTGAAAAAAAACGGTATCCCCGTTTGTATAAGATTTTTCGAAAAATCTAAAGAGACGGTTTAAATTTTTTTTAAATTAAATATTAAACATTTTTTCTCTAAAATAAATACTAACGGAAATATATCTATTTTTAGTTTATTTATTAGAGCCTCTAAATATAGAGGAATATATAAACCAACCAACAAATAATTAAAGGTATTTACATTAATAGTCTATTTTTAATGAAGACAAGCCGAGAGACAAACCAAATATAAATTTAAACATTAAAATGGAAAAATAACGATTGTTTAAGAAAAGTTATGTTCTTAAACACTTCTGACATTTTCGCTTAAAAACAAATCGTATTTTAAATTTCAATCTAGAGCGCCATAGCTGTGTTAAAAGAGTAATTTTTAATCAAGGAGCCTAGGAAAAATAGTTTCGATCGTCTTATGTTTTTCGTGTCTTGTACTGGCCGGTTAAAAGATGCCCAAATCGTATTTTTAATCATATCTTATTTTTTTCAAATGAAAATATAAAATATTTTTTACGAATAATTTGGTATCACACACTTCGTATTTCGAATCAAATTATCGTTATGAATCGCATGTTGCAATTTAATATAACTGCAACCATATTCAATAATAATGTCAAAAGTTAACATATGATATGTCATTCCATTATTCAGAGTGTCATTTTCTATCGAATAAAGTATAAATATACCGAGGGTACCATTTGAAAATCAAAAGTTGTAGTCATTTATGGCGAAGTAGTGACCAAAAACAAATACGTCAATCAATGTTAGTTTATGTTATACAGGGTTGTTCACCACATACGACACGGAATATTGTAGCTAAACGATTAGATTTTTACAAATTCTAAATTTTAGATTCGTTAAAGGACTATTAGAGCTACAATTTAAAAATATTTTTACAAGATACAGAGTGTCCCAAATAAATAAAAAATATCAAAGTTGTATTTTTTTAAATGGAACACCCTGTATATTATTACATTTTAAGTTTCTATGATTAAAATAAAGGTACCAAAAAACCAAACCAAACCAAAATAAAGGTATATTTGATTAAAGTTTATTACACTTAAACCTTACCGCTTTTCCGCTTTTGAAATATTTTTAATTTTGTGAAATTGCAGTATAAATTTTAAGGCTTCATTTCTCCGAGGGTATCAAAGTTTTTAATACTAAATATTTACTGAAGTTTATTTATTGATCAGTTATTGTGTTGCAGTAATAAAAATTTTATTACCTTATACAGAGTGTCTAAATATTTATTTTAAATAATTATTAGCTCTAAACGGCAATAACTTGTTTAATTTAAATGGAACACCCTGTATATTTTATGAGAATCAGATGCACAATTTAATTGTCTATCAAATTGTATTATACCATTTTTTACCTATCTCTTCATGTGTCCGTAGAAAATGCATTTTCTTGTAATTTAGAACTCATTTATCAATATACCCATGGAATACTGACATTTTAGATTATTTTTAAAGATGTACCAAATTTTTAAAGAGTACAGAAGATACTAATACTGTCGATATAGTTCGTTTATTTCATTAAAAAATTAAAAAAAAAAAACTGTTTAAATATTTGTTAAAGAGGACCAATTAATATGATTCCAGTATTCAAACTACATTAATTGGCTGTTTGCGTTGATTAATAATAATTGCTCCAAATACTAAAAAACTGAATTATGTATGTGTATTAGACAGTGTGGTAAAAAAACTAACACCTTAATAATGATATTTCATTTTTTGACAAATGCTTATTTATAACAACAGAGACGTTCATTTCCATAACTTATTATTATATTGATTTTTCTGATTCAAATCCACATTTATTTAGAATAATTTATTAACGAACACAATTAAATATGTAATTAATTAGTATTTGGGCGGAAATACTGGTGGTATATTTAATTAGTGGTATACTCTTTTATAAAGATTTAAATAGTTTTCTTTTTGCATACAAATGGACTAGTAATATTATAGTTTTACTAAGAACGATAATATTACTAGCCTGTATATTTTGTACATTTGTTGTTTTAAAAACAATCTAAAATGCCAATATTCCATGAGTATACTGATAAATGAGGTCTAAATTGTAAGAAAATGCATTTTCTATGAAAACTTGAAGGGATAGGTAAAAAGTGGTCTAACACAATTTCATAGACAATTAAATTGTGCATTTGATTCTTATAAAATATACACGGTATTCCATTTAAATTAAACAAGTTATTGCCATTTACAGCTAGTACTTATTTAAAATAAATTTTTAGACACTCTGTATAAGGTAGTATAATTTTTATTATTGCAACACAATAACTGATCAATAAATAAACTTCAGTAAATATTTAGTAATAAAAATTTTGATACCCTCGGAAAAATGAAGACTTAAAATTTATACTGCAATTTCACAAAATTGAAAATATTTCAAAAAACGGTAATGTTTAAGTGTAATAAACCTTAATCAAATTTACCTTTATTTTAATCTAAAAAGGGTGTTCCATTTAAAAAAATACAACTTTGATATTTTTTATTTATTTGGGATACTCTGTATCTTAAAAATATTTTTAAATTGTAGCTCTAATAGTTTTTCAACAAACCCAAAACTTACAATTTGTAAAAATCTAATCGTTTAGCTACAATACTCCGTGTCGTATATGGTGAACAACCCTGTATACTAGCATACCAAATCTGGTTTTTTATCTGAAAAAATAAAAGAGTTATAGGGGGTGAGCCACTTTTGAGACGCACCCAGTATAATGATAAAATTTGAACAAGGAATAACCCCATAAAACTTTTTGCATTTCTTTTGAAAAATAATTCTATTAACCTGTAGCGTCTAAGTACAATTATATTTGGAGTAATTAAAAAAAAGTAATAAAAACCAGATTATTTCCTTTAAATTTTCGAGATTAA